AACTAAAAGAAATGTATAATGTATAATTATATCAGAAAGTGTCAAAGTAAGTGAAACATAATAGCTTATTTAATTTATTGAAAATGAAAAAAAATTCTGATAGAATACATGAAGTATTATGACTTGTTTTTCAGTCTCATATCTCTTTTTCCATGACAACAGTTCTACTGGCTTTGGGTTAGTGTTACCAAAGTATTTATTTGCCTTAATGTTCTTATCAGATTATAAGCTTATAAGCTCATAGTAGTACCTGCATGAGAATTGCTGGACACATAGTTGATTTTAACCATATGTTAGTATCTATATTAAGTAAAGAGATAGAATTTTTCTGAGGTATTTTTGTACCAGCTATAATAGACACAGAAATACTTTTGCTAATTTGGTTGCCTTTTCCACAATTAATCAAACTGTTGTTTTGCTTTTGAATCTAATAAGGATTCAGATAATTTTGATATTAATCTGAAAATGTAACTCTTTGCAAAAGTGAATTCTTTGCAGTTTTTTTCTTCTGTTTTCTTCAGTGATGAGGGCATTTTGAACTGTGAGGCTATGATTTGTGTCTAGATGTCCCCAAAAGCCTCATGAAGTTTTAGATGGGCCTTTTTTGGATGTGGTTAGATCTAAAATGTGTGATTTATTGGTGGTAAATGCTGGATTAAAGATGGGTGATTGCTGGATCAGTACACCACCCTAATCCTAGTGGGCCGAGTAGAGTATAAAAAGGACAGGAAGATGCTGTGGAGGTCTGGTTGTTGATTTTTGCTGTATTTCACCACCATGAACTGTTGGTCCTCTACCATAAGCTACTTACTCTGCCGTGGTGCCAACCAACTATAGGTTGAAACCTCTACAAACTGTTAACTGAATAAATCTTTCCTCCTTTTTACCTTGGGTATTTTGTCTCAGCAATGAGAGAAAAGTAATTAAAACAGAATTTGGTATCAGCAGTGGGTTTGTTGCTGTGACTATACCTGACCATGTGGTTCAGCAAACTTTGAGAATGACTGTGAGAAGAGTTTGGAAAGTTTTAAAGATGCCAGCTGAAAAAGTAGAGCGGGAATGCCTTATGCTCTTTGTATGGGAGATTCTCATCAAAGCTTAGAAGATTAGAAGGCTTATTTTAGAACTCTTGTCAGTAAAGACTAGGTTTCAGAGGTTTCTTCTGCATTGGCTGTTGGACTCCAGATGATGTGTAGTTCGACTTGACAGAAAGTTTAACTATTTTGCTCATGTATAGAGACTTTACCTGAGACTGAAATTAAGAGCAATGGACTAGTTAATCTAGCAGAACAAATATCAAGGCAGTTGAATGTCAAGCCATGGCATAGCTATTGATGGGGACTTTTAGCCAGATTTCTGTTGAGAATCAAGACCAAAGTGACCAGAAGAATGATTTACAATGCTGTGAGTTTGGCCAGAAAGCAAGCTCCGGTAAAGCTGTGGACTGAAAGATAGAGCAGAGGAGATCTTAATTGCTGAGAAGGAATGGGAGAAAAAATTGCCTGAGGGCACCACAAGAAGCATAGGACTCTACCTTTTACAGCCTTAAAACTGCAAAAGTGAAAGACTATTTTGAGGAAAAAAAAAGAAAAGTAAAGAAAAAAGGCCTCAGTACACTGCTTCCCAGGATGATGGAGCCTACACCATGTTCCAGAATGGCAGCATCATAGAAAATTTGCTCCTCAGAATTGGATTCAGAGTACTCAGTGATCCAAGTCCTTGACCCCTATGATTAAGAGAGAAAGAATCCTGGCTGCTGCTCTAGCTGGCAGCAAATCTTGACATCATTCACATGGCACTGGTTTTAGGTGCATGCAGAATGCAGAAATTGGCAGAACAGGCAGCATGCCCCTGAGAGGACAAAGTGTGAAGTTGTGATTGTGAAGCCAAAGATGCAGTGAAGACCCCAGAAGTTTAGAGAAGCCAGGTACATGGATCTTCTGTGGAAAACTGCAAGGAGGGAATAGAGTGGACCCAAGAAAGAAACCATGGGAGCTACAACAGAAGTACCTTAGGGGCAGGGCCTCTCAAGCCCTTTGGAGTTCATAATTTGCCACACATTACCTCACATGCTGCACTTGGAGTTATTGTTTGCCCTGCTGGATTTTAGTCTTGCTTTGGTCTCATTCCTTTGTATCCCCCCTGCTTGTAACTTTTGGAATGAAAATGTCTGTCTTGTGCTCTTTTGTACAGGGGCTCATGGCTAAGAGTTTGCATTAAACCTAAGAGGAGCTTTGGGACTTGGACTTTGCAATAGTGCTAAAACTGTGAGGGCTTTTACAACTCTTGAAGAGAGACTGCATGCTTTATACATAAAGGGATGTGCCTTAGTTTTTGTGGGTTAGGGGTGGAATGTTATGATTTGTGTCTAGATCTCCTCCCAAAGCCTCATGCAGTTCTAGATAGGCCTCAGAGATGGCTGAACCTAGAGTGTGTGATTGATTGGTGGTAAAATGCTGGGATTGAGGGGGATGATTGCTGGATCAGTCTGGATTGGCACAACTCTAATCCGGGAGTACGGATATAATATGAAAGGGACAGAAAGATGCTATTCAGGTTTGGTTGTCAATTTTGCTATCGTCCACCACCATGAACTGTTGCCCTCTACTATGTGCCACCCTACCTTGGCACCAGCCAACTATAGACTGAAACCTTTATGTAATATGAGCTAAATAAACCTTTCCTCTTTTAACCTTGGGTGTTGGGTAATTTTGTCTCATCAGAGAGAGAAGAGTAAGATGGATAACATTTTATATTATCAACATGTGCTTAAGTATATGTTGCTGAATTATTCAGTTTCTTATAACAGTTTATAAACTCAAGTAGTGCAAAGATTATGTCCCTTTCATACTTTCTTGTATAAACATGGTATAGAAAGAGCCCGATCAAGTGTTCTAGGTTTGGATGTTGGATTCTCATCTGTCTATTAGTAAGTTACTTGATTAGTTTTGTTATAATTCCTCTTTCTATAAAATAGAAATAAACTAGATCACTAGAAATGTTAATATAAACACAGTAATTTATGATTCTGAAAAAATATTATATAAATCTTAATCTAAGTTTGTTTTTGTCACTAGTTTTATGGTTCCACTCTTGCAAATCTGGACCTAGTTTTGTTTTAGCCATGCTGGTTTTGCTTTACCTGACATTTGTTAAACATATGAATGAATGATGTGTACTTCATAAAGAGCATTGATCTAGAGAAAATTATCTCTATAACATTACTTGATAAGGTAGTAGCAAAAAGCTGCTTACAACCAAGTTCTACTTCTAGTATCAGTATTCTCTTATACTATCTGTCTAAATACATATAAATGCACTCTTACAGGGCTAGAAATTTAGCTCAGTGGTGGCATAAGTGCCTGCCTGGCAAGCATGAGGTTGTAAGTTCGATCCCCGGTACAAAATAAATAAATTTAAATAAATAAATAAGTGTACTCTTACATATGTATTCTAGTTTCATAAATCAATAATTTAATAATGTCTTAGGACCAATATTTCTTTTAAGTTGTTAAGTTCTGCAGGACAAGCAAGTAGATCCTTCCTATGTACATTGTTATTTCTAGAGAGCTGATTTGCCAGTCAGCTATTTAAGAAAATGATTGAACCCAGATTTTTTTTTTTCTTCCCAAAACCCAGATTTTCAAATCATGTCTTTTTCCTGTTTATTTAATTGTCCTGTTCCTATACAAGGTTTATAAGTTAAATACAGGTTCTTTCATATTTTTGCATTTCCTTCCATCTTCTATTTTCATTTTAGTTTTTAAATTACCCATTTATATTTTCTTTGTGATGTGTTTTCAGGGACTAGAATGTGTTCATTTAAAAATCAAGCTATTTTAGGCACCTGCCTGGCAAGCACATGGTCCTGAGTTTGATTCCCATTACAAAAAAAAAAAAATCACCCTGGAGAGGGAAGCTCAAAAATTAAGCTGTTTTAGAATGTACTAATTTTTGAAGTATAAGATGTGATTAATAACAGAAAGATCGTAAGTTTGAAAGGATGTCATTACATGTTGGGACATTTGTATATGTTCATTCAAGTATCAGTGAGCTGTTAGAAGCATCATCTAATACTGTTGGTTGAGATGGACTAAATACCCACTATAAAACCATTTGACAAGCTAGAGAAACATACTGTCTAGGTAAGATGTTAAGTCTGAACTTGGTTATAAAAATGGAAAACAACAATAAGGAAGAAATTGTTGAAGTTGACACAATCCAAATTTATTCATTCTTGTGTTGCCACATACACTCAACAAACATTTGGATGCCTGCTGTTTGCCAGGTGTTATTCCGTGTTCTTGGGGCTCACTGCAGAGCAAAACAGTGTTCACTGCCTTTACTGACCTCATGTCCTAGTGAGGGAAGATAGACGAAAACCAGTGAAATCAGTATGAAAATCATTTAATATGTGGGAAAAAACAGAGCAGGTTAAGGGTAGTCAGAATTTAAGTGAAGAATTGAATGGGGTGGTAAGAGTTAGTCTAATAGGAATTTGGGTACGTTCCAGGCAGAGGAAGTAACCTAACTTGGTAGGACTAGCAAGGAGATTGTTGTAATCCGAGTGAGGTAGGTTGGGATATGCATGGGGCGGGATGTGAGTAGAGGATGAGCTCAGAAAGGAACTAACGGATATGAGCCATTTGTTCGCTTGATAGGGTAGATTTGATATGGACCACCATTATAGCCCTTTGTTCTGATCTGCCAGTCACCCTCTGTGACAAAGATTTACTATTTAAAACTCAGATATTAAATCAAAAGAAGGATTTAATGCACTTTCTTAGCATATAGATTCAAATATTTATTGAATGAATACATGGAGAGAAGAAATTTAATGTCTTCATTTCTTAATCATTTATTAAATTTGCATGCTTTTTCTTTTTATCACAGTTTGAACTTTGTTTTTTAAATAGCCCATTCATATTTGGAAACTTGAATTTGTGCGTCAGTTTGCAGTATAATTTTTATATCTTTTGATTTTTTTTTTTTCCTAACAGGAGTATGTTGCTGCTGTTCAGCTTTACGTCCTCGCTACAAACGCCTGGTGGACAACATATTCCCTGAGGATCCAAAAGTAATTTGACCTACATCTACTGATTCTTCTCTTTGCTGACCCATTCTGCCCCCTCTGCTGACCTTTCTAAGGTTTCCCTAATTTCGTTTCTCTACTTCTATCCCTATGTTTTGTCACGTATGTCACGTACAATTGTTTTTATATTTCTTTTTTAACTTTTAAGTGACCATGCTTGCTTGTCTAGATTCAGGTCCTTTTTGTAGATTACACACATATGTGGGATGTTCTTATGTAATCTATATAGTGCTTAATTGTAATCTAGTGCTCTATGATGTTGTTTTGTCATCTGTATAGTGCTTAAGTGACATTCATTCATCAAAAATGCGTGAACCAGTGCCAGATGACTTGCACTATGTTCTCAGGAGATAACTGGGATCTGTGGGTTCTACTCTCACCAAACTCCTAGATTAAAAAATTAGCAATTAAACTAATGTGTGAGAAAATGTTGATAGATGAATGAAATACAAAGTGATACTGGGATAGATAGGAATGATACCGACTTTGAATTTAGTAGAATAAAGGCTTGAAGAAGATGAAATCTAAGCTGGGACCCAAAGAATGCTTAAGAGTTGGCCACACAGTTATTAGAAGACAATTGAAAGGTAAAGGGAGACTTTTCCAGTTTATTTTACTTACATACCATTTAGTTCTTTTTAAAAAAAGACCTTTGAGAGGACAACTAATAGCAAAGTAACCTGGTTTTAGTGACTTTGATACTGCCTTAGACTTTCCAAACTCCTGACAGTCCCCCATTAATCGGATATAAACACAAAATGCTGTATATGAGTTTAATTTCCAGTAATCAACTATAAAGAGACCTTTTGGTCATGTTAACATTAGTGTTCCTCTCCTGGTCTCCTTCACTTGCTAGAAATCAAAACCAGGTCTTTCTATGGTAGGCAAATGCTCTGGTGCTGAGCTATGACCCCAGCCTGATCTGTCTCATTTTTAATCAAATCTATTTAAACAGTCAGCTATATAGAGGAAGTTAGTCATGAAAACTATTAGTTGTCAGAGCCTAGATTTTTTATGGCATATTGAAGAACCCTAAGATGTGGTATCTGCCTTTTAGGAGCTTTTCCTCCACTGACTGATAAAGCAAAGACATACTAAATATTAAATCATCGTGCATACATCAGTAAGTAAAGTGCTAAGTTATCAGGTCGCAAAATGTTTGCCTCACTGTGAAGGAAGAAGATATCACTGTGGATTGGCGGTCTCTGGGAAGTGTACACTCTCTGGAAATGTAGAGAATATTGTTCTTGTTATTGCAAGTGAGGAGAAGGGAAAAAAAAAAAGGCATTGGGAAGCAAGTGCTAACATTTGCAGTTTGACCAAGTTAGTCTTCACCTAGATTCCTGTAGCCTCACAGTAGTGGCTTCTATTGGTCATACTGTTGACCAGGATTTCTGATTTGAAGTTGCAGGTATATAAGTTAATAAACTGAATATTTAAATCATTTCCCTAGGAAGTCTGGGACATACCATTACTGAAGATAAGGTAGAGGGCAAAGGGTGAAGGAATGTGAACAACAGGAAGATATCTACTTTATGCACTTTAGCTTGTAGGCATGCAGGGAGATTTGAACACTTGATAATAGCAGTGGTGACTAATAAGTTACCAACTGCTGTGAAAAGAACATTTTGCTAAGGGTTTAGATAATATTTCTTTAAGTAGAAATATGTAATATAATCTATTTTAAATAGTCTAGTTTAAATCTATTTTAAATAATCTAGTTTAAAACAAGATTTTCATGAAACCATACATTCATAGAGTAATCATTATTCTATTGCCATATTGACTGTTGAATTCATTAAAGCAAACACATACAAAAATACAAGAGTGTATCCAAGATGGATTAGCAGTAGGTGTTTGGCTATAGAAGTGTACATGTTACAGCGCCTGCCTTCAAAGATCATTCTAGTGAGGGAAAAACCAAGTGATTTGTAGCCATGTGATCTCAGTCAAGTTTTTCCTTGTGTCATGGAACTAATGAATAGTGCCTGTCTGATAAACGTCTATTGAGGCCCTAATCAGTTGCCGACTGTTGTTTCTCTCAGTCTTCTCACAATTAGTGATATGTGGCATGTCAGTCACATAGACAGTGGTTTTCTAGTCCTCTGTCAGGAATCTCTTGCTTTTTCTGTTTTTTTAAAAACACATTGTCTAAATATGAATGGATACAATTCTGAATTGTTCTTATCCATTAATTGTAGCAAAACTTTAACATTATGAGCAAGTTCTGAATCATTTAAAAAGATAATATGTTCACTATTACATATGTAAAAGGAAATAGGCTTAATATAATATTAACATTTTTAAATTGAAGGAAATTCAATGTGAAATCTTTTCAGTAAAATATACTCCATTCCAACATTCTGCAGTTGAAATACTTCTTTATAAAGGAAGGTGTTAATAGTGTGATTTTTGGTCATGAAGGGTCGTTTAAATACTTTGCTAAATGGAGAATTTCTTTAACTTTTTGAAAGAGTTGTTTCCATTATGGTGAAATTACAAGGTGGTTATATTCGGAAAGCTTCAACGTAAGGTTGTATTAAACCCCAATCTGAAAAGGGGAAATGTAAAGAAGGCATCACTTAAAAAGTAGATAAGTTGATTTACCTTGTCATTACTTTTAGGATGGCCTTGTTAAAGCTGATATGGAAAAATTGACATTTTATGCAGTATCTGCTCCAGAGAAGCTGGACCGAATAGGTTCGTACTTGGCAGAAAGACTGAGCAGAGATGTTGTCAGACATCGTTCTGGGTAAGGAAACTAATTTTTGCTAATCTAGTATATTTGGAACATTCTTCCTAAATCATTCTGTAGATTATTGTACCATCTAGGCAGACAAACACAATATATAGAGGATAAAGCATCAAGTTACAAAACGAAACACGTAAAATCAGTGTAGGTGCTGCAGCTTATATTTCCTGTGGTCAAGTTTGTGAGTAAATCCTCATGTTATTTAACAGAGTTAAATATTTAGCTTTGGCATTAATTTTTGGATTTACTTTAATGAGACACAGTAGAAATCAGCTTTCTGTAGTCTGTAAATGTTATACTATAGCTGGGCTCAGTGGTGCACTCCTGAAATTCAGCAGTTGGGAGGCTGAGGCAGGGAATCCCTTTCACTTAGAGGCCAGCCTGAACTGTGTTGCAAAACCTTGTCTTAAAATGACACCAAAAAACAAAACAAAACAAAACAACCCAAAAAAACCAAGCTTAAGTATGGTACTGTAATTTTAAAAATAAATCTCTAAATTGAAAACAAATCCTGGTAAACAGCTGATTTTTTGCACAGGTTCAGTTTTATGTCTCAGAGGCGTAAGAAAACAGAATTAGGCAGAAAGATCAAAAAGATGAAGCATACTGATAAGAAGCTATACTGTTGCCTGTAGATAAAAGTCTGCCATTTTAACCCATTCTTTATGCTTAAGAAGTAGTAACTTTGCAATTTGGGTAACTTTTTTGCGTTGTCATTTTATGATCGTAATTTCTGAGAATGTTCATTTTCCAAGTGATCCGTTTGTTTCTGTGCCTTCACTTTAGAATATAATAACACAGGTAGTTTTGTAGCTTAGTGAAAGTGATCTGAAAACTGAATTTTAATGTTCAATACATACAAGATTTAAAATGATCCAATTGTATAGTAAAATTTATGAAATTTCCTTATTCTTTTGTAGCTGATACTGTTTTACCATCTTATACATAAAAATACAAGTAGATCATGGTGGAGATATAGTCACATTGCTTTACTAATTATGTTGGGTCATATACAAATAAATATATTTAAAAGTCTGGGTAGTGCCCATGTTTACAAAGAAAAGCTACACAAAGGTAATGCTAAAGTAGTCCTTGAATGGCTTTTGTATACTTTTGTATATGTATTATTTTATAGTAAGGATTAAGATTTCATTTAGAAGCTACTAAGTTTGCCTTCCTGTATACCGTGCATTTAAATAAACTTCCTTTATTCTAATGAAAAGCAGTCAGAGACTTAAGAGCATGAAATGCTCTGATGCTGCTTCTCTCTCACAATTAGGTATGTCCTAATTGCGATGGAGGCACTGGACCAGCTTCTTATGGCCTGCCATTCTCAGAGCATCAAGCCATTTGTGGAAAGCTTTCTTCATATGGTGGCAAAGCTGCTGGAATCAGGGGAACCAAAGCTTCAAGTTCTTGGAACAAATTCTGTAAGTAAAATTAGTCCCTGTTAAATTAAATTTAATTAGCATATGTAGAATTAGTGTCTTAGGATGTTTTTACATTGTAAATGCCCATTCCTGGTTCAGTGCATTTGGACAGCTGATACAGGTGAAAATGATTAGAATACTTTGCCTAAGGTTTTCTTTTTCTCTTTGTGAAATCTGTAATGCTCACCAACCATAGTGAATCCTTCCTGTAAATGAATTCATAACTCAATTTTATTTTCTATGGGTTATCTGCTAAATCTACCAACTTTGTATTTTATTATTCTTCCTTTGAATTTCAAGCCCTTTCAAAACTAAGACCTTGTAAGTTTTACCCTTACACAGCACACAATCCAGTGTTTTCTTTTTGATAGTACAGAGTTGCATATCGGTCATGTCCCCATTTCTTCCTTCCACTGCTCTTGAAAACCACTAATCTACTTTTTCTGTCTAATCAATTTTCCTATTCTGGATATTTCAAATAAATAGAATTATCCATTATGCAACCCATGATGTGTGACTTCTTCCACCTAACATAATGTTTTAAAAAGTCACCCATGCTGTCGCTGTGTTCCATTTCTTTTTATGGCTCACTAGGTATTCCGCTGTGTAGTTATACTACATTTTTCTGTATCCACGGATTCTGGACATTAGCTTTGTGTTCACTTTTTTGGCTGCTGTAAATGTTTGTTTAGAAGTTTATGTATAGGCATAAATGTTTCATTCTGTTGGGCACATACTTAGGAGTGTAACTGCCAGAACATGATAACTCTGTTTCAGACTGTTGCAAAGTGGCTGTGTCGTTTACATTTTCATTAGCAATGTATGCATGTTCCAAATTCTTCACTGTTTCACCCATCCATTACTGTCTGCCTTTTTTATTATAACCATATTACAAGCTCTCAGATGGTATCTCAAGAGTAGTTTTGATTTTTGTTTCTTTAGTGACTAGTGGTTTTAAAGCTCATTGACTATTTGCATGTTGTCTTTGCAAGAAATGCCCATTCAAATTGTTTGCTTATTTTTAAAATTGCTTTATCTTCTTATTGTAGAAATGTGGACATTGTTTATGTATTTTTTATGCAAGTCCTATGTCAGATACATGGTGCGCAAATATTTTCCCCAATTCTGTGTTGTGTCTTCTCTGATGATGTGCTTTGAGTTGCTAATGGCTTTAATTTTGATGATACCCAGTTGATCTGTTTTTTCTTTTGTGCTTTAGTCTCATCTTAGAATCCATCACATAAGTCAGGATCACAAAATTTTGCCAGTGATTTTTTGTAAGAGTTTGAGAGTTTAGGTCTAGTAGCTGTTGTGAGTTATTTTTATATGTGATACGAGTTAGGGGTTCAACTTCATTCCCGTTTCACATGTCGCTATTCAGGTGTTCTGTTACTGTTTGTTGAAGACTTTTTCTTAAGCAGTTGGTGATAAATATAGTGGTTTGTATCTTCATTTCTTCTTTGATCTCGAATTGTATACTGTATAGTTTGATGAAAATGAAAAGAAAATAAAATACAGTGATAACACTATTTCTGTTGTCTTTACATGAATACCTGAAAAAAGAGAATTAAAACACAGTTACAATGTTTCTTTCTTGTCTTTAGTTTTACTTTCTAACTTTTAGTTCTTATGAGGAAACTTTAAGACATTCAACCTATGTGAATATTTTTTTGTCTGTATTTATGTTTTTATCAATAACCAACAGTATCATATCATCTGCTGTCATTTGTGGATGATCGTTTTCTGGTATGAGAAAGGAAGATACACTGCTCGCATGATTCCAGAGTCCAGCTGCTCTGTATTGAATTATGTCTGCACCCCTCTCTAGCTGTGTATCTTGGGCAAGTTGTTTAACCTTTCTTTTTTCCCCTCAGGTTTTCATCTGTGAAATTGGGATATGATAGATCCAATTTCATAAGATTGTTACGTGACACATGTTAATGTATATGAAGTTCTTAGGACATTGCATGGCATTCTTAATTACTGTTTGTAGTAGATTGTTAAAAAAAAGTAAGAGTACATAAATCTTCATTCAAAAACACTAGTATAACTTTGCCCATTTATTTCAGAGGAAAATACTGGGCATTTTAAAACATAGTTAGGTAAAGTGATGAGTTTACTTTTAGGAAAGATAGCTACTTCAAGCTTCTCTTATTTCTTACAGTTAGGTAAGGAAAGTTTAGAGGACATGGTTTAATTACGGGGGAGCAGGGTTAGTATAAACTCCAACAAGTTTCTTTGCTTATAACCCGCAGTGCCATTAAGATCACTTGAATGAATCTTAGGGCAAAAGACCACCATTCCTGGAAATCTACTTTGAAGTGGAGTATATGCTAGAAGAATCAAGTGCTATATTGTTTTGAGCAACGTTATTTGTCAAGTCCCTTGTATTGTTACACATAGTGTGGGTGTTGCTTTAATATTTTATATTTATTAATGGTCTTTGTACATTTTGATGTATTTGCCTCTTTGTGCTTATGTCAACCTAGTATTACATTCATAGATACAATTTATTTAGCTCTTTTTTTTCAGAAATTATGCAATATCCTTTTTTTTAACCTTTTCTTTTTATTGTACTATATTTTAAATGTGAAAAGTATGGGGGGTAATATGCTTGAATATATAATTATTCATGAGAGAAAAATGTTAAGTAATATTAGCATAATTAAAGACAGGTTGATCATCCCTAATCTGAAATCTGAAATGCTCCAAAATTTAAAAATTTTTGAGCACTGTTACTGGATTTTCAGATAAAGAGATGGTCAATTGTTAAAGTCTGTGCAAATATTCCAAAATCTAAAAAACGCTGAAATCTCTAACACTTCGTAATCCAAGCAGTTTGAAAAAGGGATGCTCAACCTATAATAATTTTTGTTACAAATAATAGCACATAATGATTATATAGCAATGCCGTATACAATAGGGAGATTCAATCTTAAGTCTTATTGCAAAGTTGGCATTATATGCAATATAAATACACTCATTATTGTGGGTTGTGGCTGAGGGAAATCAAAGTTTCTCTTTTACTCCTTCTCTTGTAGTCCCTTCACCCATTTAATTTTTTGCAAGCCTCACTGCTAATCTTTAGTCATTTGCTTTAAATATTGTTGACAATTGAAACCCTGCGCTGTATGGAAGCACTGATTGTCAACTTGGGGCAGTTCTTCTCCCTCCCTATCCTCTGGATATTTGTCAGTGTCTGATGATATCTTGTACTAGTATTGTAGGAGTCGAAGTTCTGGTGATGTTTAGGAGGTGGAGGTTGCTGCTATACACAGTTCACAGTTCAGGGCCCATAATGAAGGTGTTATCAGGCCCAAAATTTTAATAATCCTCATGGTGAGAAGCCCTGCATCTAAAGTACTGCATTGCTCTTCACTTTGTTGTACCTTTTGAAACATAACCAATTTCTCACGTAGCTTTGTAAGTGGAAAAAGAATACAGGGGTACTGCAGCTCACAGTTTACAAATGCTGTTGTTTACAGTTTGGTTCACAGTCAGTCATTTGGTAAAATTTTGTCTTTGTTTGCAAAAATTGCATCGAGTGACAACCACAACTCTGGCATCTTTCCCGCCCAAACACAAACGTGGCCATCTTTTCCAAAATTGTAAAACAAATTAAGTTCATAAACCAAGATGCCATTGTGGGACATATTTTTTTATTATGTATATACTGTATGCAGGGCACCTTGCTAGCTTTTTTGTTTGGTCCTTATTTGAATCTCTCACCAGCTCATTCAGTTATGTATCCCATTTCACAGGTCACACGTATAATTAGCAAAGCCAGATTCCAAATCCGGATTCACCTCACAATCTTTTCATAATGTTTGCATGGTATTATGTCTCATTTTCCTGCTTTCCTACATGTGATAGATCTATAATGATAATGCTTTGTTTGTTTATTGAGTCTAGCACAGTCCTTATGGGTTTTGAATATGGTAAATAGCTTCTGAATTAGGGAGATTGAAAGAAGTTTTTCAATTAGTGAAAGAATCAGGAAGGAAGATACGGTTTTTGCAGTTATTCTGGGAATAGCTGTCCTTTTTAAGTTTTTCTGTGTGCTCAAGTGCAATAAGAACTGCTTCTGTAAATGATCACTCAGGTTTTAATTTTATTTGTGACTTTCAGTTAAAAGAGATGAGATTTTTCTTAAAAATTCTCTAGAATATTGAATATTTTATTGTGTATTTTTTATGTTTTCTAATTTTAAAATTAATGTGTATGGCAGCAAATTTGAAAATCCTAAAAATATGAAAGAATAAATTGAAATCAGGGTCACCTGTATTTCCAAAATTTAGAAGCAGTCATTTAGTACTTTGATTTCTTTTACTAGGAAATGAAAAACATACTGTATATGTAGACCTTTTTCCATTTAAATTTTTTGAGCATTTCTCATATCACTCTTCATTCATTTTTTATAAAATGTATAGATATTTAGTATAATTGAGAATGACTCAGAAAGCTCACTGTAAACCATCTTGCCAGTTTCCCCATTCAGTTGTGTCGCTAGGAACAAGTGATGTAACCTTCATTGTTCCTGTCTAGAAACAGAGATAGTAACATTTTTTCAGGGTTTTTAGAAAGAGTAAATAAGAACTTGTGTAAGAATATTCAGCACAGTGTAGGTACGGATTAGGTATGCTAGGAGTTTAATCTAAATATGGTGTAGTATTGGTGGTCCTGTTCTGCATAGTGTAAGTTATATAAAAACAAGTGGCTTAATCCTAGACAAATTAAAATCTTTTTAAGGTCATAATGTTATTTGTTTAAATTTATTTCATGTTTGTTTCAGTTTTGTATCCAATAGAAAATCATTACTGATAATTGTGATACTTTGGTTGATTAATGACCTTTTAAAGTCTTCAGTCTCTATCCTTGAAGGGGTGGGGGCAGATGATGTCTCTGTGCATGTGTATTTAAATTTTCAAGTAAACTAATAATAGTTGCTTTTGGCTATTTAGTATGCAGAAGTAATAAGTCATCAAACAAAGGAAAAAGCTGAATAAGGTGTAAAGAAAATGTGTATTAAAGAATAGTAGAGTCCAGGTCTTTTTCACATGTGAGGTATTTAAAATTTTCTACAGATTTAATTCTGAAGCAGTAGAATTACTCTACCTCCTGTTTATCATCTGCCTTCCTTTAGAATAATTATTACTATCTCAATTTTTTTCTGAGTTTGTCATGTTTCATTCAATTTTTGTTCCATTTTCTTATTGCATTTTTTGTATAATTTGTATTCACTCATGTTTCTTACTGTCTAGGAATATGTTTTATCCACAGTTAAATAATATTTTAATAGCCTATAGAGTAATTAAACTAAGCTAATCACATAAAGAAACATTGCCAGGATCCAGGAAATTTAGAGGCACTTTAGCAAGGCCTGTCAGAGACTAGGCTCACTCACTTAAGGGCAATTAGATTACATTTAATATTGATAATAGTATATCCTTGATTTTCTAAGAGTTTTTATTACTTTAAAAATTCCTTTTGTGTTTATATACAGAATTTAGAATTTTATATATTTTATTTCCTTTTATTTGGATGTTGCTTGTTAGTGTAACATATAATGAAAGTAAATGAGTTTGTTCCACAGTTTCAAGAAGTTGAGATATATTGTTTGTATTCTTACTCTTGTTTTTTAGTTTGTCAAATTTGCAAATATTGAAGAAGATACACCATCCTATCACAGACGTTATGACTTTTTTGTATCTCGATTCAGTGCCATGTGTCATTCCTGTCATAGTGATCCAGAAACACGAACAGAGTATGTATTGTTTTACTCTATGATATATGAGTATATATTATTTTACTCTATTATATACACGAATTTATTTGTAAATACTGTTTGTATATTACATAGCATGGAAGAAAATGAGAATATGGGGGAAGCAGGTTTTCCAGTGTCAGTAGAAGGTATTTCAACTTTCAGAAGTTGTAAGATAAGCATGTGTTCTCAATTCACTCACTGACATTTACTCTGCTATGGCTAGAATGTCCCTTTGTGCTCCTACTGCCTATCTCAGATCCTGTCATTCTGTCATTTTTTCCTACTTTCACGCTAATCCAGTCATGTGAATGTTCTGGCTGTCTCTTAGGCACTTGACACACACTGTTCCTCACTGTCCTAATGAATATTGGTTCCTCTATCCAAAACAGTTCCCAAGTACCCATGTGCTTTGTTTCTGTAATTTGTTTCTATTTCTCCTCAAATTGCATCCTATCCTTAGAGTTCTCCCCAGGCACCATGTATTCATAAGCATTAATCCTCTCATTCTACTCATAGTTATCTTTATATTTTTAAGTTTCTTTGTGTCTCATTTCTCAGTGGACTGTAAGTTTGAGGAAGATAAGGCTTGTTTTGAAGACCACTATATTACTAAACATAATGCCCCCCATATAGTAAGCTTGAGTCCTTTTTGAATGAATAAAGAGATTAATTGAATGAAATGAAGGTAAGCTATCAAGCCATCATCACCCCGAAGTTTTTGCATAAACTTAATGGGGCATTTTTAGACATTTCTTCTAGTTACATCCTAGTAAAATTCTGGAATTGAATTCTTATTTACCTGTAACACAGTATATGTATGTGTTGATTCTGAATATAGTTAGAAATGAGAAACTTTCAAATTAGGAATTAAAATCAAATGACCTTGGTAAATATGGAAAGTAGTTTAAACTAATGTTGAACTGTAATACATCTCAAGGGAAAGTATGCAGCCTGAATTCAGAGAGTTGTTGTGGGTGTTAATAATCAAAATTTAGCATATTTTGTGACTTTTAGTTTTAAAATAACTAAGGGAATGTATGGAAATAGAACTAGCTTTTAGTTGGAGTTCACAGGCCATAGTGTGGCTGTAGTGGTGATTTACAAGAATAAAAACAAGTATAAAATTTATTTTAACATGGAGAAATAATGGGGTGATTATTAATAGTCATTAATAATGAGTAGTTTTTCATCAATATGATTCTTTGTGGTTCTATTAAGTTTTATAACTTTCTCAGGCTATTTATATTCCTCTTATTTTATTATGAAGTATGAACCTTTGAGGTAAAAATTGTATAATTGCTTTAATAATTTCCTATTTATCTCAATCACTACTGTATTTTTTTCTTCCTAAAGAACATCTTCAGAATGCTTTTAAAAACTCTTTCATGGGTATGGATATAGCTCAGTGGCACAGTACCTGTTTGGCAAGCACAAGGTCCTGAGTTTGATTCCTGGTACCACACAAACATACAGAGAAAAACCACACACAGGAAAAACTCATATATAAATTAATGAGAAGTGTTTTGATATCCACAAGTTAATGAAAGAATGGATTTAAGAAATTTGTAACATAATGCAGCTACCCTATTATTAGGAATTTATCGCCCTCTAGTGAAATGTCGTATCTTTTGAACATATTTTCATCTAATAGTTTTCATTAGTTTGAAAGGAAAAGAAGTAGAAGCTAGAAACTATTTTTGCAGTGCTGAGCGGATCAAAATTGTTCCCCTTGTAAACGCATACTTGACATTCTTAAGCCCTTACTCCTAATTTTTCAAGAACTTTCACCTGTAGAAATCATCATCATTGTAATATGGATAAAAGTTATTTATTCCTTATTGTGAGCCAAATATTCAAAAGTTTTACATAAATTAGCTCAAATCTTTACAGCGTTGCTATGCTGTAGGCATGACTGACAAACAGTTTTGTTTTATCGATGAAACTGTGAGATTCCTTTGGAGGTCATAGCTAGACTATGCAAGTAGGCCAGTCATTAGATCTGATCAAATGCCAGCTGTGGAGCTGTGGCATCATCACTAATCCTGTCATGGAACACAGCCCTTTACCGCCAGTAGAAGTCCTGCTGTCTGCTGCTGCTCCCTTTAGGTGCTTAAAAGATCTGATATATGTTTCATCTTGCTTATTCATGTGATTCTAAACCACCATGTGCTTGGCCATCCTGTCACTAAAAAATTAGCAGCAAGTAGAGAAACACCTTTCTGTGATGTTAGGTTTGCCCACCTAGGTTAGGAGCTGAGTCTCTAGACTTCTTTATGGTTTATAAAGCAGCGTATGTTTTAGACACAGCTTTGAAATAGGCAGAATTTGTCTTTGTGTTTTCCAGTCCACTCTCGTCAGTTCAGTGTCATTCTCATTATCAGCTGCTCTTCAGTGCCCACGTCATACCTAAGGGTTTGTAAAAAAGTCCCTTCCCCTTCACCCATGTCTCCATTTCTTTAAAGCTATTTATGGTTTCTGGAAGACAGTGTTAATAAATGTCTTATTAAATTGGTGGATATTGCAGGTAATAGGGAAAAAGGAAAATAGAAAAAAAAAGAAGTAAATAATAGTATAAAAAGGACTATGTTTTAAGAACCAAGTTAGCTCTCCTTGTTCTGCCATTTTTATAAGCTGTTTCTGTGTGAATGAGAAAACATAATTGAATGTATAGATTTTTCTTTTCCTTTCTAACTGTATTTTTTCCTTTAAGGGTAGAAAGAAGCTTGAGGAAATTAAGGACTGTGAATTAGAATTCGAGGGTAGAGCAGCATTCTGTTACTAAAAGTTTCAAGTTACATATATTTGATAATGCATATATCTCTTCAGACTTGTGCGCATTGCTGAAGATGTCTGGACGTAGTAATTCTTACCTGTTTTACCTTTAAAGAAAGCCTCTTATGTTAAGTGTGAAGGTGCCTTGTTTATCTTCTAAGAGGTGAGGGTAACTTAGGGAGAAACTAGTGGAGAAGTCTGAGAAACACGGCAGGTGTTTCGGAACAGAGAATCCCAGTTCCCCTCAGCTTGCGACCTCTAGGCAAGAAATAGAACACGCTTCAGACTGCTTTGCGTTACTGTCATCATCATCTTCGGAAAACCTATGCTTTTGATTTTTTTAATTGAAAAATAATGCATATACCAGGATTAACAGTCCTTTTAAACTCTGAATCCTCACTTTAAAAAGATACTCAAAGTAATCTTTGAATATATCTGTGTTACGTTAGAATTTTGAGATACTAATTTCGTAGATTTAGTGTGTGTTACTTTTATTGCAGTAGCGATATTGGTATCTGTTCTCCTAGCTAGACAAACAGGTTTATTTTAAATAATTTTTTCATGACTCATTTTATTCTTCCTTATAGAATACGAATTGCTGGGATAAGAGGTATTCAGGGTGTGGTTCGCAAAACAGTTAATGATGAACTTCGAGCTACCATTTGGGAACCCCAGCATATGGATAAGATTGTTCCATCCCTTCTGTTCAACATGCAAAAGATAGAGGATGTTGACAGGTATTCTATGAAGAGGTTTGGTTAAGGCTGTGTTGTTTGTGTGTTTGTATGTGTATGTGCTTGCCAGAATAAAAATATTTAATGTTATGCAAGAAATAGTCTTAAAGTTAAGTAAATTTAAAAACATATACATTTCTGGAAAGATTACTAATATACAATTATCACATTAGGTTTTGTAGGTCACGCTAGCTGTTCATTTTGTTATTGAATATCCACATTGCTATTTTAATATTGCTTAATGTTGCCAGTGTAAGAAATTGAAATTATACCTGAATTTCTGTTATTTTTTTTAGAGAGCTGGTAAGCTAGAATAACCAAAATGATAGTAATAGTAGCTATTTATTATATAGCTGGATTTCAACAAAAAGATTAGACACTGTTCTTTTCTGATATATTTTTCTAATATTTTGAAATGGAATATTGTTGTTTTGATATATGCTGATTTTCTTTTTTTCTCCTCAACATTCAGTTGCAACAGGAATTCTGTACTATATTTCCGTTTTTTTTTTTTTTTTTTATCGGTACCAGGGATCGGACCCACGACCACCTGCTTGCCCAGCCCCTTTATTTCTGATTTTTAAGTGCCAAAACCTTGTGTTATTTCCAGTTTCTGTTGCCCTACGTGGGGAGTGTTTGATTAAGCTTTAAACACAGGATTCTCCACTTTACCTTTTTATTCTTGACCTTCTTGATTCTTGCAATTTAAAGAGGAAGAACTGAAGCAAATTTAAAAGAGTTAAATCTGTAGTTCTAAAATTTAAATATTATGGTTTCCAACTTTATATATACAATATTTAAATAAAAGTGATCTAGTAATAAGATGTCACAGATAACTCTGGTAGTGCTTCTTGTTCATTTTAATTTATGATAACTTCAGAAAGGACATGTTTAATTCATTAGATATTATCTCCAGCTTTAGAATCTTTTTCTAAAGTGTGAAACTTATTTTAGCACCTTTTATACTTCTCCTATTTTTGGTACTTTAACTGAAACTAAACTTTTCTATCAAAAGTGTTTGTAACTCAAGAAGTCAGAAGCTAGTCAGGGACCTATTTTTTTTTTTTTTAATTTTATTTGAAGAAAGACTAAACAAAACAAATAGGATAGAAATAATACATACATTCAAAGAAAAAATAAACATTAAGAAATCACTAGTTGATGATTATATATTGTCCTCTTACAAATAGTTGTTCAAGTTACAAAAGTGAAGCATACAAAGTGGGGATTCAAACAGTGAGACTGCAAACAGTTCTTTTCAACTATCCAACAAAAACTTAGTAATATGGTTATCAATCCTGTACCCTATTTCCTAATAATGTCCAGGGTTAGAATGTGTAAGGTCCAGGAAACAGAGACCATTATTTGGTATATCTCGAGAAATTTGTATTTGTCATTCTATAATCTCCATGCCACAGATACATTTTCTTATTGCTGTTGCATGATTGGCCTAAAATAATATTTTAACACGTTAATAACAACAGATATTCTCTACTAAAGATATTTGCATATACTTAACTTTTAGCATTTATTTTTTATTCATATCCTTATATTCTCTCCTCTGGGTGAAATACTTTTATAAGCTTTGGATTTCTTCACATAAATGTTCTCTCTCAAGCCTTGTCAAACCTTGATTTTTAGATTTTTTAATTTTGTCCGCTTAATGGTTAAACTGGGATACCTTACCATAGTCTCCTTACACTGTTCTTACCAAAACTTCCATTATAAATGTAGAGGATGAAGGTGAATAAGGAGCAAAGTGTTTTATTTATGTATGTAAAGGGCTCTGTTGGAAACAAGTTACATAGCTTATGATTCAATTGTGGTGTTAAATTTTATGAAGTTAGGGTTAAGCTTTAAAGTTATATGAGGGTAAAAATGTAATTTTAATATTTCTGACAAATAAAATTACTGTATTTAATCATTGAAATTAACATTAGAATTCTTGAATTAGTTTTGTTTCTTTTTTTAGTCGCATCGGCCCTCCTCCTTCTCCTTCTACAACTGACAAAGAAGAGAATCCCTCTGTGCTGGCTGAAAACTGTTTCAGAGAACTGCTGGGGCGAGCTACCTTTGGGAATATGAATAATGCTGTCAGACCAGTTTTTGCGTAAGTCATTGGTGTTTTTCTGGTTATTTGTGATTTTGCTATATTAATTCTATAGTTATATTCTTACAGAGGACAAATAATTTTTTCCTTGTATGAGCAACTTAATATTGGAAACAGTCTTAACGTTGCGGAAGTAGCATAGGGGTAGGTTAGATACTGTATAGTTGGTCACTATTTCGGCCAATTAATTAGGTTTTTTTTCCCTTTAAATATAAAATATTCTGCTTAATATTATGTGCATCATGTAACTGAAATATCTCTGTATAGACCTTGAAATTGTATATTTGCAGTAAAATATTAAAATGGTGTTCAACTATCTTGTTTTGAAAACTTTCGTGGTCAGTTTCTGTGTTTCCTGGTTTCTGTTTCTTGGCTTTCTTTTTTCTGTGCATGGGCTGCTGTAGATCATGTTCATGTTGCTGAATAAATTGCTTCTTAACCAGAGACTATTTGGAGGCAAAGCATTAAATATATCTCATTAGTTCTTATATTCTCTCCTCTGGATGATATACATTTATAGGCTTTGGGTTTCTTCACATAAATATTCTTTTTCAAACCTTATCCAGTCTTGTGTTTCTAAATTATCAGATAATACATCTATTATACATAATTCAGTGTAGTTTCTGAACTTTTTTGTTATTCCTTCTTTTGTTAACATTTACCGTACCCTTTCTCCCTTCTGACTGCAGTAACGGATTCAGCATATATAAAATATTCTGAATATTGACATCCAAATTCTTTATTTAGGATGGCTATTTTTACTCTTGGGCTCAAATTTGAACATTAAGCACTAGAATCTGTATACTGAGAGTTTTTTTTTTTTTTTTTTTTTTTGGTCTTTTTCGTTTTTATCGGTACCAGGGATCGAACTCACGACTGGCTGCTTGCAAGGCAGGCGCTTATGCCGCTGAGCTAAATCCCCAGCCCCTGTATACTGAGAGTTTTATTAAAAGTAAGAGAACCACTAGGTTTCTGAAAGTATCTATGATGCCCTTTTGCTTCCCTGCCTATGTTGATTGAGATCTACTACTTAAAGACTCTCTGGGTGTAGGGAAATGCTTCTAAAAATAACCCAAATTATGTTAATACATTGAGAGAGGGTTTACTTTTTAATGTCTTAATATACTAATTTAATACCAGAATTTATTTTTAACTCAAAACTGTATCAAGAAGTTGCCTGTGAGGTCTTAAAAATCTAGAGAGGGCTGATCTAAAAGATAGCCAGATTGACTCTACATGAGTTTAGTAGCTGCCAGGAGGCAGTATTTTCTGTGAGGGACTTAACTGGACTTAAATCCTGATTGTGTAGTAAATAAATTAAATGTTAAATATTATGAAATTATGTATTAATTGCATAGTTCAGTAAATGCTGAATGTACTCTACAAGTTAAGGTATCAGGTATGTAATACATAATGAATAACAAACTGAATAGATGACTGATATGCATAGTAATTATATGAATTAGAAGAAAAGGCAAAAAAATGATGTGGTAGTTAAAAACAAAGACTTCACATGGGGATGGTATCTTTTGAAGTAAAAGGAAATAGTTCTCAAAAACTGTTGAGCTTGGTGTAGTGACATACGTCTGTGATTCCAGCGCTGTGGGGAACCTGAGGCAGGAGTTTCTCAAGTTTGAGTCCAGCTGGCAATTTAGTGTTTTACTAAGACTCTGTCTTAAAAGAAAAATGCTTTTTAAAAAGGATAGAAATGAAGCTCAGTGGAAAAGACCTGGCTCTAGTTCGCAGTACACAAAAAAAAACCTGCCATGGAAATAATTGTTTGATTTTTTTCAACATCAAAGTAGGTTTTTTTGTTATTACTTGATCTAGTAATGGTGTCTGATACAACAGATATCTTAAATATCACAATATTAAGCAATAGTGAACGTAAAACACTGGTAACATTGGTTGGAGTGTCCCTATAATTAATGTTAATATCAGATAAGAAGAAAATATAGATTAACATTTGTATTTAATAGTCTGTGCCTAATTAGTAAAAATCTTATCTCCTTATTGTGAAAAGGCCAGAAATTCCCCAAGAAAATGTTGATCAGTTAGAACTACATAGGCTAGGCTTTGAACCAGGGGCAGTGTTAATAGATACTTTATTAACATTCCGAACAAGGAGGCTTAGGGAAAAACTACAAGGAATTAAAATATTTTTGTTCTAACTAAATACAGTGTATGGTCAGTTTTTGTTTTAGAATTGCTTAAGTCAAAAAAGTTTTTTTTTCAGACGTCTCAGCCAGTTTAGTTTGTAGCTCTACCTTTTGTTCCTTGCTCTATTCCTCAATCAGTGCAACTCCCTAACCTACTTAGTAAGATTTTATAAATAGAAAATTGTGTATATAATCCAGGACACGGATTCTTATAACTAAGAGTGCTTATGAATTCCTGTGATGCTTGTTATTTGTAAGATCTTAGGTCCCCAGACGTGGATCTTTGTGGCTAACATGCTGTAGATAGCCTAGAAACCTTGGGGTTTTTTCTTTCTTGGGTGTCCCTGCCCTGAAGCTTTGTCTCTGGCCTCCTGTGTCTGTAATTCTTGAAATTGCTAGCACTGGCCCCAGCGATGGGCAGTCATGGCCAGCTCTGCTGCTGGCTTCCCTGTGTACTCACCTCTCCAGATGATTTTCACTGTGAAGTTAGGTGAGGACCTGTCTTCCTTTTTTGCTACTTCATTTAGGTATTTAATCACCTTCTTGTCTATAGTACAGTATTTTGTTGTTTTATGACTAGCTTTGGCATTTGAGGGAAAACTATATCACTTTTTAAGTATTAAGTTTCCATACTTTTGAAGGTTCTAAAGGAAGAAAATATAATGGGTAATTCTTAAAGTAATTTTTTTTCTTGTTATTTGTAGGCATTTAGATCATCACAAACTATGGGATCCTAATGAATTTGCAGTTCACTGCTTTAAAATTATAATGTATTCTATTCAGGTAAGGTTTGTTTAACTGTTGTGTTACCAAATTTTGGTTCTGTATAGGTAGACACGTAAGATATAAAAAATGATTTATAATACTTGCTTTTAATTTGGCTGTTTTATCTCATTTGTTTATATTTACCAATAATTTTCTTACTTGTCAGGATGAAAAATAGTTGGTATAAAGAACTAAATAATTTAATGGTGATGCTCTGAATTATATGCTTATTTAATGCGTCTATTTTGTGTTTACACTAATTAACTAGTATTGGAATTCATATTTATTATGGCAGCATACAGTACCTAATAATAGCTAACATTCTCTGTGGAGTAATGGTTACGTTCTCTCTTTACTCTTTATAGAACCTTATAATGAAACACTAACCTGCTGCGGAGGGCCAAACCTTACCCCTCCGTACCCCCTGTCAAATCATCAGCACACCTGATTAGCTCTTAAGTCAAGAGGTATTTCAGTTCATTTTAACACCATTTTGATTTTTAACTCCTTAAAAAATTACAACTGCTTTAAAGAGGATAAAGTTCACAGAAGTAGCACAGGTATTAATTAAAGGCATATCAGGATTTGCTTCTGGATGTGCTATTTACTAGTTGTAGAAACTGGATTTATTTCACTTCTCTGAGGTCCATTTTCCTTATCTCTGGAAAATTCTATGTGCACTAAATGATTTGTTTACAAATTCACATAGATGCTACTACCATTTATTAAGAACTGGTTTGTGCCCTATGACTGTGCAAATAACCTTATATGCTTTATATAATGTAATTCTCCTTACCCTTTGAATTGGGTGTTGTTATTCCCATTTTATAGGTCAGAAAATTAGTCTTTAAACAGTAACTAATTCACTAGCATACAGGTCAAAAGCAAAGTTTCAGCTTGCAAAGTCTGATCATTTTATTCCAAAGTTTATGATGTAAATTAACCATTATGGTATCACATGTACTATATAAAGTAGATTTTCAAAAAATGATAGTTATAAGTTAGTTTAGATAGTGAAAGGTTGTATTTTCAATTTAATACTAATTTAATAGGTAAAAGGTAGATCTTATAGTCTTTGGATATAATCTGTGCTTTTTCTTCTGGCCATTCCCAACCTTTAATTTTTTTATCATTCATCCTCCTTTATTAAGATGTAGTTATTAGATAAAATTGTTCTTTTCCAGTGTGAACATTGATACCTTTATCCCAGCTACTCAGGAGGCTGAGAAGGAAGACTACAAATTTGAGGTCAACTTGGGCAACTTATTGGGTTTCTGTCTCAAAATCATGAGGGCTGGGAGTGTAGCTCAGTGGTAGAGCATTTGCCTGCCATGCATGAGGCCTTGGGTTCAACCCTGGAACTGGAAGATATAATTTTTTTTACAAAAAAATAAGTTAATAAATAATAAAATTACAAAGTTGAAAACCTAAAAGTCACTGTTTTTTAAAAATTTAATGTTCACAAAGGTACTTCTGGTTTAAATTTTGCTTTAGAAAGAACTCTACTTACAACATATATTGTATAAAGTTTCATTGATCACTAATTAAATGGTAATATGCACCAAAAGACAACCCTGGTACAGTTACGACTTCTGGTGGTTTGGATTGTTTCCATTGCCTTTTACATACAGATGCACGTATTTGAGTTATAACACTAATACAGGTCTCCTTCATTGGGTACTTTTTCCAGTCTCTTAAGAAACAAGCCAGACATAAACATAACTGGTGTCCATAAGGGATTGTGTAGACTACTTCCAAGTATAGCAGGGCATTAGTGATAACGGGAAAATGTCTTTGAAGGCATAAATGAGGCATAATGAAGAGCAGGTCTTGGAGATCAGGCTATAATTCACTACTTGACCCTTCCTTGGAGTTTCTGCATAATTTTGAGAAAGTTATCTGTACTGTCAGTGAGTAAGTGAGTTGAACCTTTCTCCTAATGCTATTTGTGTATGTATGAATACTCCATATAAAAGTACTCCAAAGAGTGCCTGGAATCTGACTTTTGCAGATTTGAGGGCTGCAAGAGACCCACAACTGCTTCTTCTGAAGCCCCCAGTGAATCTTTCTCTATTTCTATACTTCTGAATGAGTAGTCTTTTATCATCATTATTGTTATATTCAGTGTTATAGTAATATATAGCCAAAGAGTCACCAATTAAAAGCATAGCAATGTCATGACTGATACATTGTATCAACTTGAGAAGTTTAGAAGTTTTACTGAAAGGCTCAACAGGGAGCCAAGATCCTTACTTCATAAATATCCTCATCTTGTGTAAGAGGAGGGCATAGATTTTGTAAGTGCTACACCCTCCCTGGGTTAGGGAGTGGTGGAAGTGGCCTGTATATAGTGTAAGGGAGGAAAAGGGGCTTGCTTTTACCCCTTTTGTTTTGACTGCTGCCTTGAAGTGTTGCCCCAGTGCCATGTCACCCTGCCTTGAGTCAGCTGATTATGGACTGAAACCTCCACAAACAGTGAGCTAAATAAAATAAACCTTTCCTTCCTTCATTTTGGGTGTCAGATAGTTTTGTCTCAGAAACAAGAGAAAAGTAACCAAGACAGTTTTTGGTACCACGAGTGTGGTTGTTGCTGTGACTATACCTGACCATGTAGTTCAAGAACTTTTGGGAATGGCTTGTGGAAAGAATTTGGAAAGATTAGAGATGTAGCCTTAAAGAGTGGCTCTGAAACACCATATAGTGTTCTGTATAAGAGAATCTAGTCAGAGCTCAGAAGACCAGAAGGCTGATAGAAATCCTGCTGGTAAAGACTAGGCTCAGGAGGTTTCTGCTGGGAAGGACTGCATTGGTTGTTGGATTCCAGATGATGTATGTTATGACTTGGCAGAAAGTTTGTCTGCATTTTGCTTATGTTCAGAGACTTTGCCTGAGACTTAAGATTAAGTGCAGTTGACTAATTTAGCAGAAGAAATCTCAAGGCAGTCAAATGTTGAGTTGGTGGCATGGCTATTGTCGGAGACTTTTAGCCAGATTTATGTTGTGAATTAAGAGTAAAGAGCCCAGTGGGGTTATTTAAAATGTTGTGATTTTGGCCAGGAAGTTGTGAACTGTAAGATTTGAGATCTTGATTGCTAAGAAGGAGCAGAGAAATAAAAAAGATGCCTTGGAGGCATCACAGGAAACAGTGGTGTGTCTCCTCTTGAAGCCTCAAATCTGCAAAAGTGAAAGACTTTGCTTGGAGGAGAAAGCTGCAGAGTGCCATGTTCCAGAATGGTGGCAAAAGTCACATCAGATTCCAAAATATTGATGGCCACACCCAGTTCCAGAATGGCGGCGGCATAGAAAATCTGTTTGTCACAATCAGGTTCACAGTGCTCAGTGATCCAGTCACTCGACTCCTACAGCCAAGAGAAGAAATCTTGGCTACTGCTCCAGCTGGCAGTAGACCTTGGCAGCATCTACATGGTGCTGGTTTTAGATACATGTAGAATGCACAAGTTCTGAGGATAAAAAAGCTTTGACTCCGATTTCAGAGGGCCTGGAGGCCACGTAGTGTGCCTGAGAGGGCAATATATGAAGCTGTGAGTGTGAAGCCAAAAGTGCAGTGGAGATCCCAGAAATTTGGAAAAGCCCAGAACATGGATTGTCTAAGGAAAGCGGCAAGGAGAGAGCAAAGCCAGCCCAAGAGAGAAGTCATGGGAGTTAAAATTGCCAGATGTGCCATGGGGGTGGAGTCGCTCAACCCTTTTGGAGCTTACAGCCAGATTGTTTCTGGCGCTGAGTGTGGAACTGTAGGACTTAATGTTTACCCTACTGGATTTTGAACTTCCTTTGGTACCATTCTTTTGGTATCCCCCTGTTTGTACCCTTTGAAATGGTAATGTTTATCTTGTGCCATTGCATGGTGGAAGTGTTTAACTTTGTTTTTAATTTGTACAAAGGCTCACAGCTAAGAGGAGACTTGTGACTTGAACTTTTCATCAATGCTAAAACTTTTAGGACTTTTCCAACTCTTGGAGATGGACTAAATTTCTTTTTGCATAAACGATCTGCGTGAATCTTTGAGAAGCCACAGTGGAATGTTATGGCTTGTTTGAGTGTCTCCCCAAAGCCTCACACAGTCTTGGAGGCAGTTGAGTCTAGTGTTTGTGATGGTTCATTCTTTAATGCTGGGATTGCCAGTGTGAGTGCTACACCTGCCCAGGGGCAGGTAGCTGGCATACAGTACAAGGGAGGGTAGGAGGTGTATTTTGCTGCTTTTTTGCCCTTTTTACTCTTGTTGCTTGTGGCCACCATAAACGGCTGCCCCTCAGCCACGCCACCCTGCCTTAGAGTCAGCTGAGTGTGGACTGAAACTTCCAAAAACTATAAGCTAAACCTTTGTTTCCTTCATTTTGGATGTCAAGTGTTTTGTCTCAACAATGCAAGAAAAGTAACCAAGACAAGTGATACCCATTATTTATGGAGCAATTTTCATATAATAGAATTTTGATGCTTTATACCAATGAGTGATCTCAAAATCCTATGATGAAACCATTGTTACTGTCTGAATAATGCAAGTCATGGATCCTGAGGTGCCATGATATTAAATAACTACCTCTTAAACTATGAAATATTTAGCTGTTAGGCAGTGAGGCCAAAACTAGACCCTGAGCAATTATGATTTCAGGCTTTGTGATACTTACCTGCCGTATGAAGTTGCTTCTAAATTAAAGCTATTAATCTTATTAATATTGTCTTAAAGTTTGTGTTACAGTGACTTTACTGTAGACAGAGAACTCTCAATAAATCTTACACATAAAACACATAAAATATATTGCCAGTTTCATTCCATTCATTCTGTTTTTTGTTTTTTAGACATGAAAATGACTAACTCCTTGTAAGCAAAGTGATCATATGCCCTGGTTTTGTAGGATAACCTGACTCTATGTAGTTTTTAATACTGACCCCACTCACTCTCTGAATGCTAATCAAGCAGCCACCCCTCTGTGTAAGGCAGGCTCTAATTGTGCAAGGTTCACACATGCAACTTCCTGAGCAAGAAATTTAGTTTCAGGTTAGCGTGTCTAGCATTTCTGTATTTTAACATCACTTTAAAGCAAAGCAAAGATGAAAACACAGAATTAATATTTGCTTTGAGTTATTATGAAAATACACGTGTCATTTCAGAAATGCCAGAAATACCTATTCATGAAATCTAATGTATCAATAGAGGTGGAAGGAAATTTCTAACCATTATATAGGACAGAGTTTCTTTATATAAAACCACTAAAGGGGAGAAAAGTTATTTAACTAGCTTGCAAACAGGTGTAGGTATAGATTTAAAAAAAAAAAAAAAGACCTTGTTACTGTGTTTAAAAAAAAAAATGTTCATCAAAGTTAAACATTTTTCTGACAGTGTTTTAAGTTCCAATATCATTGACTATAACTGATGGCATTTATCTATTATAAAATGTCCTTGTAAAATGTGATTCACCTGATTTAAATTTTGTCCATTATGTACTGATAAGATTTTCCTTGGATGGTGGCTACTGATTATATGAGGTCTACCCAGTTTAGCATAGTTGTATTTCTATGATAACAGCATATATCTAGTTAGGGTAAAGTCTAGTACTGTAAATGTCATAATCTGTTTTTTTAATGATGTTTTGATTTACTTTCGAATTTAAAGAGAATATTAAACATTCTTTGTGAAATTACAAAGAAATATAAGACTAAGAATTTTTTTTGTGTCTCAAAAGTAACCAGTGGTAATCCCAGTACTTGGGACTCTGAGGCAGGAAGATCCCTACAAGTTTGAGGCCAGCCTAGGCTACATAGGGAGTTCAAGGCCAGCCTGGACTACATAGTGAGACACTGTCTCCAGAAATCAAAAAAAATCCGGGGGGAGACCAGTGCTAATATTTAGACACTTATTTTAGTCTGATTTACTTAGTTGAGGAACTAGGAGTATAGCTAAGTGGTAGAGCATTTCCATAGCATGGTAAGACCCTGCAGTTTCCCAGACTGTAGAACACTAACAAACTGAATTTTATGGACAATCATATCTTGTAATTTTCCTTTTTCACTGAGTAGCATACATGTTTTCTGGTATTCTATTTATGTGTTAAAAGAATGGCTTTAAATGGCTGCTTATTACCTCACAAGTACTAGTCTCGAGTGATGGACATAGAAGTATGACAGGGCTTTCCATTCTTAAGAGTTTATTCTGGGATGTAAGTGCTTGTTCATACACCTTTGTACTGTCCTTGTTTCCTTCAGGCTCAGTATTCTCACCATGTGATCCAGGAGATTCTGGGACACCTCGATGCTTGTAAGAAAGATTCTCCCCGGGTTCGAGCAGGCATCATTCAGGTGTTGTTAGAGGCTGTCGCCATTGCTGCTAAAGGCTCCATCGGTGAGTGTTGGTGAAAGGGTGAAAGTGTGTGCTCTGCTTCAGAGGTATTTAGCATTAGTATAGCAATGTATGAAGTAATCTTTAAAACTATTTCTGTGCATTTTCACATGTATTATAATTTGTCTTGAAATTCTGGGTTCATGTGATTATTCTTGTATATTTAGTGCTAATAAAACATTTCTAAACCTTTCCTTTTTTTTCTTCTAATAAAGATTTTTTGGATATAATTTATGTATTAAACTTTGGGAGAATATACATTTAAAAAAAGTGATTCAGGTTAAATATTTTAATTCCAAAACCCGAAATTCAAAATGCTCCATAATCTGAAACATTGTGCATACCTGCATGATGCCGTGAATGGGAGAGAGCCCACAATCAAAATATAAGAAGACCAAAAAAAAATAAAAGTATCCTCAGGTACTTTTTAATGTGTGTGTATATAAATAGTACAAATATATAAATATAGAAAATGCATATATATTAAAACACAAAAGAATTTTGTGTTTAGGCTTGGTTTTCATCCCTTAGATGAAATATCTTATTTTACACACATAAAACTATTGTGAAGTCCAAAATACTTCTGGTCCCAAGCATTTTGTATAACAGATACTCAATGTATAATTTACTTGCAGTTAGACAACTTTACTTTGGTTTTTAATATAAAGCAGACTTCAGACTCATGTGAAAAAAGAGAGTGACCAGAAAAGGGAGGGGAAATAGATTAACATGAGCAAGTGTTATGTGGTCCAGTTTTCTAGAACATGTGGTGGTAAATAGGAAGAAGTCAGAGAAATGGCTTTGAAAATAAATGGCAGCCAGATTGTGGAAGTTGTGCAGTTGCCAGTTTAAAGACTTACCACGATCTCTATGAGAGATGGGATATAAGATAATCCACCTGGCAGCAAAATGGAGGGCTCAGTAGAACTAAACTAATTGTATCAGGAAGGGAAGAAATTTGCTCTTGGCTTTCACCATAACAATGAGAACCTGGAGTTAATGGGACTTGGTAATGACAGGTGTAAAGGCAGTAAGGAGAAGGGCTGATGATGCATGTGTTTCACCTACATGTGATTAGAAAAGCAGAAGAGTCTATCATAGAAATAGAGAAGCTGCAAAATCTGTTGTGGTTTCTTTGTTGCAAAATCAAAGTGAAAAAACTGCTAGTGTTTTTGATAAATCTCATTTTTTAAAATTTTGAAGTCAATCTGTTGACTGACTTTTCCACTGATTGTGTCACTTTGTGTTTCTTATAAGTCTAGCAAACTTTACTGGATATAGGACATTGAAATGTTCTATCACTATTGAATGCAAGATATTAAGTGTGTTGGACTTTATTCCTATGGGCAATTAAATTACTTGTGGATTAGTTTCTTTCAAAGCTGGTCTTTAAGCTCTTCTAGAGTAGCTTTGCTCTAGGGCTAATTATTTCTATTTCTGAGTGTCTGTTTGGTGATGTTCTTCTACTCTGATAGAAACTGAGTGATTCCACTTCTGTGTGACCTTTTTGATTTAAAAGATGCTGGTGTGGACTTACTGCCCTTCAGCTAGTTGTGTGGATTGTCCCAAAGGTGTACCTTTTCGGTTAGGTGGTGAAAGTCTTCAGCAGGGAAGGATTCAGCTACAGCAAACCTGCCCTAAGGGAAGGTAGCTTGCTGGCATCAAGGCCTGGTGAGATTCTTGCTTTGTGGTGGATGCAGCTCCAGCTGCAAATAACATGGATAAACTCTCATCCTCTTCAGTGACCTGGCCTTCCCAGGAGAAATGTTCTAATAGTCTTTCAGTGTTAAATACGGGTGGACTTTAGATACTGATCTTCCATTATTTACTTTATAACTTACGTTAAGAATATGAAACAAGTTAGTGATCGGCTAGTTATTTAATTTGAAATATGAAGTAAAACACTGATAATATATTGAATCATCCCACTTACTGATGTCTGATGTGTGTAGGGCACTGTTTGTGAGGCTCTGCTTACTCAAAGAAGTGTTTAACCATAAATAAGGGAAGCTTGTGACTGAGACTAGGAGTCAGAAATGAGAGCCCTAATTAAGATACACAAATGTGACAATAAATGTGATACATGTGATAGTTTTCTATGTGAGCTGCTTGTGGAACAGAAAAGCAAGGAATGAGTCGGTTTACCTGAAGTCGACAAATTGATTAATTTCTCTCTCACAATTCAAAGAAATTTTCATTTAGTCTTAAAAGATGCAAAATAAATCTTCTGTGCTACAGAGAGCTGTATTATAATTTAATGGGTTCTGACTCATCAGTCTTCGCTAAGTATTATCACAGTACATATTATTTAGAGCGGACAGAATTACAAAGGAAGTTTTGGATAATCCTTATTGGCATATATCTGTTTTGGGTGGGTTCTACCGAGGATTAAAAAAGCAGGTTGCTCATAGATGCCCAGTAGGTTATTGTTGGCATAACTAGGAAACTTTGGTGTTTATTCATATTTTTTAAAAAAGAAGAAAAATTCATAAATTATGTATTTTTGGCTATTAAGAAAGTAACTAAAAAATGTGTTGAAATCTGCAAATTACTTGTGAGAATAGATGCTACTTGGCAGTATGTCAGCTCACACGGATCGTCCTTCTCAGGGCCCACTGTGCTGGAGGTCTTCAATACCTTACTGAAACATTTGCGTCTCAGTGTTGAATTTGAAGCAAATGACTTGCATGGGGAATCTGTAAGCAGTGTCAGCGTAAACACGGGTGCCAGAGATGATGAGAAGATTGTGCAGAATGCGATCATCCAAACAATAGGTAAGTGCGTTTCACTTTTCAAAATTGCAATGTACAACAGTGAGTTTATGAAGTTCTCCCGTGATGTTCTGGATATATAGTATATTAAAGATAAGTGATTGCTGATACTTTTAAAAATTGGATATTGGGAAAACACAAGCATAAGAATGAGACAAAGAATGAGATATCTTCAGCCATCTATCCGCTCTTAACATTTTATACCATTTACTTTTCCATTTGCACTCTACTCTCCTCCTCTTGTGTGTGTGTGTGTGTGTGTGTGTGTGTGTGTGTCTGTGTGTGTGTAAAATACACACTTTTTTCCCAAACCACTGGACATGTGTACATTATGATCCTTTACCACTAGATTCTTCAATCTATTTTTTCACAGAATAAAGGTATTTTTTACATAGGCAGAGTAAAGCTATGAAAATGAGTAAAACCTAACATTGGTACTGTACTTTAGTCAGCCCTCCCCATCTCAGTTTCATAGTTGACCCAGTTGTATCCTTTACAGCAGTTTTTCCTTTAGATCTGGGATCCATGGAGGATCATGTAATGCATGTACCTGTGGTATTTCTTTAGTTACATTACTCGGTGAGTATTTCCTTGGTGACATAGGCATTTCTTAAGAGGAAAGCCTACCTCTTTCTTTATAATTTTTTAAAGGAAACATTCCCATTTGGTTCGGTCTGGCTGGAGTGCCACATTTTGTCTGGTGACGTGGTCTTCTCAGAGTAGTGCTTGCAGCCCAGCATTATATGATACACATTTGCTCCTCAATGCTGGTGTCAGTTTTGATCACACCATCAAGGTGTTGCTCTTTCATATCCCCTATTCATTTTTCTCTTGCAAATAATAAGCAGTCTAAGGAGATAGTTATTCCATGCAGATATTCTGCTCTTCAGCCAGACTTCCCCGTGGATGATTTTGCATCCTTTCATAATTCTTGCTTCAGCTGTTCTTTATCATGATGTCTACACAGTGACGGTTTTGCAGCTTCACTCCTCCTCCAACTACCAGCCAGTAACACTCAGTGCTGTGGTGTAAGCAGGAGCCTTTGTATTATGTGGAAATGTATTTATCTCATTATTATAGAGATATCCATTTATTGTGTAGTTATAGTTTATTACTGTATTTAATTATTTGGGTGCTTAAATTTTTCCATGTTTGCCACTGGGAGCCCTTCTAAGTGTGTTCTTTGTTTAACACTTTTAAGTGTGTTCTTTGTTTAACATCCACCCTTCCTGCCCCTAGTACTATTACTTGGGTAAAAACACTCTTTCGGGCAAATTGCCCATTTCATGCCCCTGTGTGAAATCAGGTATTTCTTCAAGGAGCTGTGTTTCTCGTGAATGGAAATGGTATTAGAGACACAAATCCAGATGGAGATTCTTGGCCTATGCTGTTGTTGGTACAGGTACTTAGGGTGAATTGAAGAGCTTTCATTTAACAAACAGCCCTGGTGTAGAGGCGCACATCTGGAATCTCAGCATTTTGGGGGACTGAGACAGGAGAATCACAGGTTTGAACCAGGTCTGGGAAATTTAGTGACTTGGTGAAACCCAATCTCTGAAAAAGAGTTAAAAGGGCTATACGAAGCTCAGTATGAAGGTCTTCTGTTCAGTCTCCAGTACAAATAGAATAGAGTAACTAGAAAGTTTTAAAAACTATTTATATCTGATTATGCAAATGCAATATAAAGGCCAGAGCTGTGGTTCACACCCATAATCCCAGCACTTGGGAAGCTGAGGCAGGAGGATCATCATGAGTTTGAGGCCAGCCTGAGTTGCATGGTGAGTTCTAGGCCAGCCTGAAGTACAAAGGGAGACCATTTCAAAAAACCAAAACTAAATGAATAAACACATACAATTTAGAGCACCCAATCTGTTTCTCTCCTTTCACCTTCCTCTCCCATTTTTCTTTAAAATGTAACTTACGTGACTGAATCAATAATTTCAATGTCAGAACATATTCCTAGGGTTTAGTAGTTTCTAATCGAACAGTTTCCAAAATTATAAATTTATTTTGGATTTATCCCTTTTATTGGGATAATTTGCCACTTGTTGGCTACTTTTGTATAAAAGTAGGTCAATGATATACTTAATACCAATTTTTTCTTGTCGTCTTATTTCTAAATGTATTTCTGGATATATGTAGTACATCTGTGCTCCACACCTTTTTATAGAACATATGCATACACCGGTTACCAGGTCCTTTGCTGAGAACTCTGTGGTTGATGCTTATGATGTTACCTTGTGACAGTACTTAACCTGCTTGGTGTAGTTCTTCTGCGGTCTCTGTTGCACACAGCAGTTGTCCTCCTGAGGAGAAAGGCTCATGGGGGTGTTACTGCACGTATTTGGTAAAGTCCAAACTTAACATAGATTCTCAATGAAGCTGAGACATTTTAGTTATTTCTTAAAACAATTAGCATCAGTGTACAGTGAAATTAACTTCTATGATGATTCTCACATTTATTTGGATTATTTGTGAAGTTTTTGTGGTAAAGTCATCAAATCAGCAAATTTTATTTTCATAGAATTAGTTTAAATTGCTTTAGTGATTTCTAATTAGTTGAATATTACTGTTTCTCTCTAGAATACTGTGTCTGATGTATTGTCAAGTATTTCACTTTACAATTTATATAGCATACTCAACCAATATTTCTGCAGTCTAACACATTTAGAGTAACATGATAATGTAAAAATTAAAAGATGAAAGAAAGGTGTGGTACAATCAGTAAAATACCTTTTTAAAAATTGTTTCTCTGAAATGTTTTTTTTTTTTCCTTAGAATTTCTGTGTTCTGGTAGTTAGTTGAATCCTGTGGCTATGTGTGTGGTAAGCCATGCACAGGGCTGTTGTAGCTTTTCCCCTTTATGTTTTAAGGCTGTTAGCCTGGTCCTCCTTTGTTTAAAAATAACCCAGAACGGACCTCCCTACTGTGTTTCCTTTTCTCACCCAGAGCATTTTTATTCAGTAATCTAAATATAAAAGAGTCGGTATATAGAGATGAGAAGCGTCTCAAGACTCTCCAATGTAGATCAAGTTGGAGACTTCCTGCCCAATTTTAATTTAAAAAAATAAATTGCAAAGCAAGAAATAGTTCCTTCCCTAACTATTTTCATTTATTAAAAAGATTTTTTTCAGTACCTAATTAACATGATGCTATCCACTTTGACCATGTACTTGGGAGAGGAAAAAGATCTTGTTTCTTCAGGGCACTGGTTCTTAACCTTTGCGATCCATTGAAATTACCTCAGGATCTTAAAAAAATACACTCATTCTGAGATACCCATCCCAGATACTGAAACTGAACTACTTTGGTGTGTAGCCTGAACACCAGCATTTTAAAAGCTCTGTGGACTGTTCTGATATGCCTGAGGATCAGATGAGACTACTCTATACTTTGAAAAGCATGAAGCGTGCCAGAAGTTAATGATAGAAATGTCACCAAATAAAGGGGTGTGTAAGGAATTTAACACTTTCAGCAATACTGTATTGGGTGCTGTAGTGAGCAGAAGAGTGTACTACTTTTATGTCTTAGTGGCAATGACCAAGTTGAATAGTTTCTTCAAATATGTATGCCTAAATATTACTTAGAATAATATACTTCAAACAGATAAAAGTTAAGGTTAAGAGAGTTTGGATTGCTACATTGCATAGTTTTTGTAAGTCTTTTACCTCTAGGCCGAGTCACAATGAGGAATTAAAAGTACAGCAAATAGAAACCATAAATTAATTATTAAAGATCCAGAAAATTTCTGTAACAGTTTTGTTGAATTTTTTAAAAAGGAACAAAAACAGCCATGATTTGGTATCTGACCATCAGAGAAATGAGAGTTTAAAGTGTGTATAAACGATAAATTTGCAGATATTTTACTACCAAGAAGTAAACTATCAAAAGCTGTGTTAGGTAAGTTTAAAATATTCTCAGAACCCAAGAGTACATGAGAAAAATTGCAAGTAAATAAGTGGGTTTTTTTTGTTTTTTACTTCTGGTGAATTAGATGTGTTGAATTAATTACAGATCTGAATTGTAAACCTGGCTCATTATAATGATCTAAAACTTTGGGGTAATGCTAAGAGTAGTGATTCAGTCGTTGATTTCTGCATCTCACACAATGTGGCCTATTTACCGATTTCCTTACCAGAACAGTAATTTTACATTCTAAATATACAAACAAGACTTTCATCAGAGATACTTTGAGAAGTTCCTTTTTTTTTTTTCTTTTTCTAAAAACTGATCAACTCAACCTGATGATTCACTTTCCATGTAAAAGACTTTCAGATACTATTTTATCTAACTATTAGTTATTAGACACATGTATAATTTTAGAAAGGTAAAATAAAGCTTTAGTGCTACATACAGTTTACATTCTGTTACCACATAATAAAAGTTTTTGTTAAAAATACAATTTTGTGGGACTGGGAATTTAGCTGAGTGGCACAAGTGCCTGCCTAGCAAGTATGAGGTTGTGAGTTTGATCCCCAGGACCCAAGGAAATAAAAAGACTATATATATAAAATTTTGTGTTGCTTGGAAAAATAAACTTTTGTAAAATTTATCTTAATATTCTATAGGGTTTTTTGGAAGCAACCTACCAGATTATCAGAGGTCAGAGATCATGATGTTCATTATGGGGAAAGTACCTGTTTTTGGAACATCTACGCATACTTTGGATATCAGTCAACTAGGGTATGTTCTTAAACTGTAAATTTGAACTTAGTCTTGAGGTAATTTCATCTTAAAACTAGAAATTTTTTTTTTTAAATCTTAGCAATAGAAGTGCTATGAAAGTACTGTTACTGTCATAGTACTAGACTACATCTTTATTAACTTAGTGAACATTTATTTAGCTTGGGCATTGAGTGTATGCTTACATACATATGTTAAAACACCAAGTCTCCTGCAAACATCTTATTAATGTCAGTATATGGGAAATGTTAACTTACTCCTAGAATTCTAGAACTGAAGCTAATTTTAAAAATTCATCTGTGTTCCTATTTTTAAAAAATTAATTTAATAATGAATGCACTTAAGATTTAGTTTGTGAATGTTTTTGTTTTACTAATTTAAAAAGAAAATGATCACTCTACTTCATAAATATGTATCATTGTTAAGTATTAATGACAAATTTAAAAAATCATTTAAGGAGGTGAAAACACTTAAGTATCCTGATTTGATTATTGAACAAAATTGTATATCAAGTCATTACACTCTATTCCATAGATATGTACAATTAAAATAATTTTTTAAAACACCATAAATTGGAGAAAATATGTACTATAAATGTATATGAATACAGTAGCTCTTTAACATATATCTATAAACATGTAAGATCAAATGATTAAAAGAAACTTAACAAATGGAAAGGTATTGTTGATTAATGATCAAAGAAAATACAAATCAATGTAATTTTCTTTTGCAGATGGTTTTAGTTATACATGTTTATGGTGTATTGTGTTTAAAAATGTATGTCTATAATGTATAATGATCAAATTAGAGTAGTTAGCATTTCTGTCTCCTTAAACTTTAGAAAAAAAATTTTGTTTGTCATATAATTGTGCATATTTAATGATGTAAAATGTAATGATGTAAAGTATTTCAGTAGTAATTTTGCTAGTAATTGTTGATTCATATGATTTAACTTTCATGCCATCACATGTATAAATGTTTCATTGGAGGGGCAGTAACTTGAATCTTTGTGAGATTCTTCTTTAGCATAACTTTTAATTCATATGAAATTTAATATATAAAATGAACCATGGCTTCAGCTGCTATAAAAATAAAATAGCTATTAAGGATGAAGTGTTAAAATCAGTAAAAAGTACTGTAAGTAAATGAAGTAATGCAAATGTTAATTGCTAATAATAATAGCAGTGTTTTATATATTTTAGGGATTTGGGAACCAGGCGGATTCAGATAATGTTGCTGAGATCTTTGCTTATGGTAAGTCATTTGATAGATGTGAAGGATACATTTAACCTTAAATTATTATAGCTTTAAATTATTAAAAAGATAAATTTATTAAATTTAGAAATGTTAAAAAGGCATAGTTTCCCATTGTGAGCTTTCTTATTTAATAATGTGTAATTACATAGTTATTTCTGTGGTTTGTATACTTCTTTTCTTATCCTAGGCTTTTTGCTGCTTATTTCTTACTTCAGCAGTTTTGTCTCATTTTTCGTTTTTAATGATGCATACAGAGGGCAGAAACTTTTGGCATTTTGCAAATGGAAATATCTGGGCTCAGAGACGTTAAGAGTTGAGGAACTCCACCAAGGGCGCTGAAATAAAGATAGAAGTTGGACTTGTAAATCCAAAGTTCTTTTTTGTGTATTATACTATGTCTTTTTACATGCTGTCCAAATAATGACCACTTGTTGGGAAAATAATTCATAAAAATAAAATGTATCATTTTAAATTTAGAGGAGCAATAGGTGGCACTGAAAATAAGAGATTCTCTGCTTGTGCTCTGTTAATTGTATTTATTTTTGATTCAGCTGCACTTAGCATATTGCAAGGACAAAGCAGAAATATGGGTTCTTTATAAATCAATACCTTAATCTAGAAATAGTTAATATTTATAATCCCATTGTTCTGAGAAAATATCTCACACTGAAGTACAGAAAAAGCTTCATTTTTTTTTTTTTTTTTTTGGTGTGGTGTTTCTCACGTAGAGTTTTGAATGACTTACCAGTTTTTTCCTGTATACAGTTTCTTTCTCTGTCTTGCTTTAAAATTTCTTGCTTACTTTGATTTATTACCAAATTTGTTTGCTTAAAAAATGTTTAAAATTTGACTTCTCGAGTTTAGATATTTGGTTTGTGGTGTGGATATAGTTTAGTTTTCCTCAGCAGGTAGATAGTTGTCCTACTGATTTTCTTCCTTCACCCCTGCCCCATAGTAAGTGCTAAAATAAAAATGTTAGAAGATCAATATATGCTTGAAAAATGTTCTAAATTACTCTCCTGAAATTTCATTTGACTGAGTGTTCATTTATATTAAACAAATTCTAAGTTATCTTGCTTTTCATCCGAACTACGTTGTAGTCAACAATTTTGAGGATCTGTATGGTGTAGTTTTTAAATGTGTATTAGCATGTAAGTATCTTCTCTTCAAAAAGTTTAAAGTTTAGGACATATACCTCTCAAATGTCAAATCAAGTAATTTATGAGGTACAGCTTTCCAAAAGGAAAACCTATTGCTTTTAAATAAATTCTTAATTTAAAATAAAATGATTCACAAATCTAATTTAAAAAGTGGAGATCTTATCTTTGCTTTTGCACCTAATCTCCTTGTACCTCTTTCATACTGACTACTTATCCCTATATATTCTTAAACTGACTTAGCCCCATTTTTTTTTATAAAATAGGCCTAGATTGGTGCCTGCTTCACAAAGATGCCATGAAGGCAGAGTTAATGTATATACAGTGCTTAGTGTTGTGCCTAGCACATAGTAAATGTGTTACTAATTTCATTCTAGGAATGCTAAGTGAATTCAGTAAAATCCTTTCTCACCTAAAACATTTTCTTTGCATCTTTCTTTCAGGATTATGTCTGTACTTTCTGTATGGTTTTAACAATAATTTGACAAATTTGCTAAAGAAGAACTCACTACAAAGATTGTTTATGTTCATCCCTATAATCAGGTCACCTCTGGATATAAAGCCAAGACTATTGTTACTGCGCTGCCAGGGTCTTTTCTGGATCCTTTGTTGTCACCATCTCTCATGGAAGATTATGAACTGCGGCAGTTAGTCTTAGAAGTGATGCACAACCTCATGGATCGCCATGACAACAGGGCAAAGCTCCGTGGGATCAGGTAGTGTGTCTGGTTGATACATTTGTGCTTAATGATAATGCTTTCTTTTTCTAAATTAGTGTGATTTAGAATTGTGGTTATTCTTTATATAGGATTTTTAGGGTTTTTTAAAAAGTGATATTGAGACAATTTATTGGTATATTCATTTTTTTCTTGATTTTTTGAGGCAAGAGACTCACTTTGTGGCACAAGATGGCCTCAGACTCACTATGCTGCCCAGGCTGGTCTTGAACCCTTGTGAGGCAATTCTACTTCTGCTTCTGCTTCCTCAGTGCTGGGATTATGGATGTGTGCCACTGTGCTGCACTAAATTCATTAATATATTTTAAAATAAAAAATATGTAGATATCATTTAATATACTCTGTGAAGAGTATTACTATACTCTTCACAGAGTATATTAAATGGTAACTCTAGTTACATAGATTTTACTTGGCCTTTGTTTTATCTCTGCTTTAAGCTTAGAATGGCATTAGGAGTCAAAATTATACAGTTCTTAAACTTCATAGTCCAATACTATCATTATATAGACTATTTTATTTAATATACTCATTGACATGAGTATTAAATAGTTCAGACTTAGCAGATTAAGTGTAATTTTCTATGTAAGATATAATATTGTAACCATTTGTGGTATTCATTAAAAATATGTATTAATTGTCTCTAGAATAATACCAGATGTGGCAGACCTAAAGATAAAAAGAGAAAAAATTTGTAGGCAAGACACAAGTTTCATGAAAAAGGTAAGAACATTTTATAAACCTCAAGCAAATTACATAAACTGGTCATGTGTTATGTGGTTTTATACTATATTGTTCTGTGACCATAAAAGGAAGCTGTAGAATTCAGAGATGAAAGTCTCCACTCTGTCAACTTGAATTTCCCTTACAATACACAGCTGTCCCTATGGTGTCTGCTCCAGCCTGTGTTTAAACGTTGGATTCTTGTGCTGCTGTAGTAGTTCTACCTTTTCTTCTTTTGAGTGAAGTCTTCCAGTAATTCTTGCTCTGCCCTTCTTCACATAAAAGACACATGCAGATCTCACTTTCAATGGAATGGAAGTTCTCTTTTATAGAGAGCTTCATGTTTCTGAAAATAGATATTACTATTGAATAAATAATAACTGTTTAGTTGCTCTAATACAGTACTTGGGATATAAAGATGCATAGTGTTGTTTAGCTAGATTCTCATGATGGTAACATAAATTCTGTAGGTCTTTAGCAGGTGGTTGACTTTCCAAAATGACGGTGTCCAAGGATATTTAGCATATAAAGGAAGCTTTCTGTGTAATGAGTAGTTAGTAAGGGTGCACGCAGTGTGGAGAGATGCAGGAGACATGATGCTGTCCTGAGGGAACCGCCCAGCATGCTCACAGTGCCGGCTAGGGAAGCTCTGCGGTAGAGCGGGGCAGGATGCACAGGCAGAGGCTGAGCTGAGTTGTGGTCTGGTCTGCCCCTTTCCTAGTCTACTCTCCCCCCTCACCATCTTTAATGGTGCTGTTTCTGGTATTATTATTGATTGTTGTACTTTAAAGTAACACTTTCACAGTTTAAAAACTTTTCATTGGAAAAACGTTTTGCAAGATATCTTTGTTCCTAAGTTAATCTGATTCTGAATAAAATGTTTATAAGTTTGAATACACTGCATATTTAAAAAATAGAAATAAAGCTAAAAGGTTACCTCTTCTGAGATTTTTTATTTTTTAGTTCTTTATATTAACTAGTTCACGAAAGAAGTTCCACATAGACTATTAATCACAACTAACATAATGAATTTTGAAAATTTCAACCAACAGCTAGTTTTGGAAATTTGTTTTACATTGTGAGGTGATCTTAAGTGATTCTGAAGCTGGATTTCATTTTACCTGCTGGGACAGTAATAGAAGTGCTATTTCTGTGTGCGTTATTTTCTAGCAAACTAGTCTGGAAGGCTATGGTTTTAGCTACAAGATCAGAATTCTGTGTTGAGTTTTGTATTCTTAAACTATTCTCTAATTTAATGCTCCTGTTTTATAATTTATTATAAGTCCTGGCTAAGCATTTGTTACAATGAATATAAATTATTCTTAATAGAATCTTTTTCTTTAGAGATAATTTGTTATTTTTTCCATTATCAAAATTTTATTTGTTTTTGGTTTTCACACAAAATTTTGACAACTTACAGAAATGTCTACAAGAATCTATAAAGAAAAAAAGTTCTGTAGCCATTGAACACTGGACGTCCCCTTGAAAGTGTATCTTGCATTTATCATGGATAATATATTTTCATTGTCTGTGTTATATGTTCAGGCAGCTGTGTCTCACATTACTGTAGCCCCAGACTGGTCCATTGGGTGTTTTAGAGACATTTGAGGTAACGCATCTGTTTAGAACGTGTTCCTGGGCAGGCCTGGAAGTTTACACTGGGAGATGTGTCTTCCTCTCTCTTATGAAGCTCATGCTTGCAGGTAAAACAGCTGCTCCCACTGAGATTCTGCCTTTAGCTCACCGTGTAGTTCCTCACTGTGTGAAAGATCTCATGTTAGTGTAGCGGAAAAAGAATTTTATGATGAAATGTAAAATGTATATAGACCATTATTTTAATTATTTTAAAGGGAGCAGCAGTTTGAACCAAAGCAGCCTACAAATCCCATCCAAGTAGTTATTGTTCTGACCCTTAATATTAGTTTTTCTGTTTTTTTGTGTGAAAGAATTGATGCATTGTATGTTCTTTCATGCTTGTTTTTTCATTTAGCTCTATTTTGATAATTTCATCCATGGGTATAGCTTTAATAGTACTTGTGATATGACCATACCACAAGTTATCTGTATTTGTTGGCAGAATTTGAATTGTTTTCAGCGGGGATATTAAAAATAGTGCTGCTATAAACATGCTTGTACAGGTATTATACATAATGTCTGTTTCTCCGTTTACATGAGAGGAGTTCTGAATAATAGTGTATGCAACTTTTAAATTCCCTAGATAATCCCAAACTGCTTTGTGAAGCCATCACACCTGCTTATACTCTATAGTACATATGAAATTTTATCTTTATCTAATAAATATAAAGGTACGTAGATAATTGTAGATACTTCATATATCTAAGCATGGTTTTAATGTTTGTTAATACCATAAAAGCAATAGTATTTAAGAACATTTTTAAGGTTTGAGACAGCCTAAAATATTCCCCATTCAAGTATAGACCAATTTGAGAAAAAGACAAACTATGACTTCAGAAAGGTACATGGGAAAATAACAACTTCAGAAATAATGGAAATGAGTAGGGATAGGAGAGCACAGTTTCATATCTAGAGCCAAAGAGCGGCTTCATGAATGCTGTACTACACCGTGACTTGACCAGTCAGTCATGGTCACACCCAGAGAACACGGGCTCCTGGGGTGAGAGCTCAGTGCATGCTAGAGCGCAGAGCAGAATACAGTATTGCGGACACTGGCCTCAAAGAGTCTGCAAATGGTGACCAGCTCCTCTTCCGAGTGGTCAGCGAGGTGAACTGTTGAGAAACATCCTGGACCTCGTTCCTCTGAGCAGCCCTTAGTGGCCTGGCACGTGTTATACTATAGAAACACTGTGATTGGCCCCTGGCCAGTCAAATCCTTTCAGGGAGGGGCAGGAGCGTGGGGCCACCTTCATTTCCCAGTGAGACTTACAATTAGGGCTGAGAACCCATGTCCAGGTAGAGCTAATTAATCACCTCGTGACTAGAGATGAGAACTGCCCTGTCACTGCTGTTGGCTCTCATTTCTGTACCCAGGAGTGCTTCAGATACAAACGACTTCTATGCCCTTTGTTAAAACATTTTGGTCTGGCTTAGAGGAAAACCTCAGTGCAATCACTGACAAGTTTTCTGTAACCTCTTCTATAAGCAGACTTCAGGTTCACCTTTGGGAGCTGCCTGCCAAAGCATAACACTACCTACATGGCTGCTGCTCCCTAGACAGCCCCTAGCCCACAGTACAGGGTGGTTCCCCAAACAAGAAGTTGATACGTGTTTCCCCTCACCAGCATGTGTTTTGTGGTTGCCAAGGATGTGTTGCAAGAGAATCTCCCAGAATTCTGCCATCCATTTTACTGTTTCTCAATCAATAATTTATTTTATTTTTTAAATTATCAATAAATACATTTATACTATATACATGGAAACTATTTCTTTTATTTCTAAAATTTTTAACTCTTGTCATTTTGTATATCTGTTGATATTAATAATTGAAATGCAGTTTGAGTCTTAACAATTTTAATTTCACTTTCATATTAAGTTATGAAATAAGATAGCTACTCTGTAGAAGGTTATATTCAGGTGAAGTCTGCCTGTATTACATTTCAAACAAAATGATTTCTTTCTGGTCTTTTTAGAATGGGCAGCAGCTATATCGGCACATATATTTGGGTTGTAAAGAGGAAGACAATGTTCAGAAAAACTATGAGCTACTTTATACTTCTCTTGCTCTTATAACTATTGAACTGGCCAATGAAGAAGTGGTTATTGATCTCATTCGATTGGCCATTGCTTTACAGGTATGTTTTTATAACATTTTGTGGAAGAAAACTTTTTATGAAGCAGATACCATCTTAAAGAGTAGTTGCCTCTATTAAAAAGAATGAGTTTTGGTTAGATGGGTGTCTAGTTAAGAATCTAAAGTATTTAAGATTCTGTTCATATTCATTCTTTTAACAGGTGAACAGTGACTACATACAAAATATCTTTTAAGGCTGTACTGTGATGGAAAAGTTAAAGATAGCTCCTGTACCCATTCAGTTTGGTGGAGGAGATACTCATTAAGTAATAAACATATATAACATTGTTTAACTAGAATTGTGTGTGTCATGATAAAAGGACAGTATCCATTGGAGCACATGTGCTTTCTCTGTCTTAAAGGTATTTTGTACCTTTTATGTGAACATATGAATAAGGAAGGCTTTCCTGAGGCAAAGGCTTATTTAATTTGAAAGCTTTAACTCTTACAGATAAGCATTTGTTGTTTTTGCATTATTTAAAACATACCTTCTGGTAAGGTGATGTTTTGGTTGGCCTTCCAAACCACCTGTATTTTCCAGTGTAACTACAGAGAAGATCTTGATGGAGCATGAGAACTTAATGTCACATGTGTTTGTTTTTCATTAAAGGACAGTGCAGTTATCAACGAGGATAATTTGCCCATGTTCCATCGTTGTGGAATTATGGCACTGGTTGCAGCATATCTCAACTTTGTAAGTCAGATGATAGCTGTTCCCGCATTTTGCCAGCATGTTAGCAAGGTAATGTGTTTATAAAGTCTTAAAAACTGAATCATATATGCAAATGGTTATTTTTCTTTTAGTGATGATTACTTTTAATTCTGATGATTATGTATCAAATTAAGATAATTCTTAAATTGAAACTCCAGCTAAAACTGTAGTTTACACTTCTATATTTTGATACCTGTTTTGTTAGAATTTTTATGCAGTATTAAATAAAATACATGATTTTCTTTTTAGTACCTTAAGTGATTTCTTCTTCACCTTTTCTTTGACCCATTATGAATCTTAATATCTAGGTTTTCCTGTGATACTGTTTGTCTTGTTGTTACCGTTGTTTTATCCTAATGTACTTAAGGCAGATCTCAGATATTGTTGCCTGTCTTTTAATAGTATTTACCTGTTTTCAGCAATAACTTAGATGCATAATTGTCTTTCAGAACTCCTAACTTACCTTGCAGAAAAAGGCTGCTTTTAAAAATATTTGTCAGACATTTGTTCCTTTTATGAAATTAGAAGCCTATCTCTGAATCTTTACTAAAATGTAGGTTTTTAAGTGGATTCTAATAAATAAAACACATTCATTGAGTGAGCATTTGATGCCTGCACTAGAGGTACAGACAGTATGAAAGCAGAGCACCCCTATTAGCTGCTCGTAGGTCTTCGGAAGAGCCAGGCCTTGCAACTGCCAGCGACCTTGTCAAAAGGTCCCCTTGACCTTTTGAAGGGTGTGCAGGTGAGGAGGCGATTCCTAAAGCAGTGTTTTTAAGAAAATATGCTTCTGTTTCTTTATAATAGATTTAAGCAAATGTGATATATGGTTTCTTATTATATGTATTATTTGATTGTCATGATTTTACCTGCTAGATTTTTAGAGTAATATGAAAAAAAATAATTCATATGTCTGGACTTGAAACTTAGCTTGAATTCCAAAATAAAATGACATTATTTCATATAATGTTTAAAGATTATTTCTGGTTTTTAATTTTTTAAAAGAATTCATACAACAAAATACTAATGTGAGGTTTTTATTTTTTTTTCCTCGATATTTTTCAGGTTATTGAAATTCGAACTATGGAAGCTCCCTATTTTCTACCAGAACATATTTTCAGAGATAAGTGCATGTATGTTATTTCTAACTTACTAAGTAAGGAAGGGCTGAAAAGAGATAATAATCAATTAGTTATAAAAGTAAACTATTGTAATAGTTTTTTGGAACCTTAAAATGGCATCTCTCTTTGTTTCTGTCTTTTAATTCATCTTATTTTTTCCCTTGCTATAAAAATTTCTGCACATTATAATTATAGAATTATGCATACATGTGGTAATTTTGGAAAAAAAATGAAATCAAAGAAATTTTGCTACTTTTTAGAATTTCCTTAATTATAATGTTTTTAATGTTCTCATACATACCTTTTGAAGACTTCAGTTTTAGATAGCAATACTCATAAAACTATGGGACAAAGATTGTTAAGAAAAATCAGTGAGCTGCATTTCCATTCTTTCTTGCTTTGTAAAGAATAAAACCATGTGAGTACTTGATTCAAACTTCTGGCCTCTCAGTGGAGGCTGCTGATGAAGGATCATACTGGATGCTGTTAGTGCTGTGAAAGGAAACAGAGCTTCCTGTAGCTGGGCAGGTGCTTTCCATCAGTTCTGGCTGGTGATATTTGCATTAATCTTCAATGAACTGCTTTTTTACGTTTTTCTTAGTAGATTTTTTAATTAGCATGAAAATGAAAATTAAATTTAATTTCTTCATCTAATCAAATATCAGAGTTGGATATAGTTGAGTTCACTATCGGAACACTACTAGGAGAAGAATCATAGCAGCGTGGTTGATAATTTATAGCCATTTACCTTGGGGTTTTAAAGACCTGAGATAGTCACTTAAAACATACTAACTTTTCTATTATAACCAGTTTAATTTGCAATATTAAACTTTTCTATTATAATATTTGCAATATTATAACTTTTCTATTATAACTTCAGTTTAATGTATAATATGGAGGCTTTTGCTCCAGAGCGATTGTCTTGGTTACTTTTTATGTGAAAATTGCCCCATAAATACTAGATATTGCTTGTCTTGGTTACTTTTTTCTTGTCGTTGAGACAAAATGCCTGACACCCTAAATGAAGGAAGGAAAGATTTATTTCGTTTACAATTTTTGGAGGTTTCAATCCGTTCTCATGTGGCTCCAAGGCAGGGTGGTATGGCTGAGGGGCAGCCGTTGATGGCAGCCACAAGCAACAAGAGTAAAAAGGGCAAAAAGCGGAAAAGTATACCTCCTTCTCTCCATTTTATGGTATACTTGCTGCCTGCCCCTGGGTGGGTGCAGTACTCACACTGCCAATGCCAACACTAAAGAATGAACCAGTCACAAACACTGGACTCTGCTGCCTCCATGACTGCATGAGTCTTTGGGGGGACATTGAAACCACAGCAATGATTTTTTTTAAAAATTCATTTCTTTTTGATTGGGAGCTAACATTAGATAATCATTGTTTTGATCAACCTGACAGGCTTCCAAAATCTTTAGAGAAGCATGATAAAAATTTATATTTTCTGACCAACAAGATTGCAGAATCACTCGGTGGAAGTGGATATGGTATTGAGAGATTATCGGTACCATATGTACCACAAGTAACAGGTAAGAGGAAGAAAATTACTACTCTTGCTTTGATGATTGTGATTCAGTATTTTTCTTTATGTAATTAGTAATAAAAGGCAATTTTTGCTATGTACACTTAATATAGTGGAGCTATTTTTCAACTGCTTTTCAAAACCTATAGTAAATATCTCAAGTAGGTAACATAAGTAAGTCAGATATTCAAAAATTTGTTACTAATATATTGCGTTCATGTAAAACTGTTCTTAATGTATTTCCGTTTAATGTATAATTATGCCTCATAGCCTTAAACAAAGAAGCAAAATAAATATTTATTAAACATTGTATGTAGTTTACAGAATTGTTTAATAAGTGATTTGTGATTGAATTTGATGAATTAAGAAATTTGTCATTTGAATGAGTACAGACAAAAAGGAAAAAAAGAAAAATATTTCTGTGTAAAGAAACCTGCAGACTTTTTGTTTTGGCTTGGTTTTGTTTTGTTTTGTTTTGTTTTTTGAGACAAAGTCTTACTAGATTCCAAATGTGCAGTGCTCCCACCTCAGCCTCCCAGAGTGCTGGGATTAAGTTGTGTGACACTGTGTCTAGCTCTCCAAACCTTTACTTTTTTTGGCACTGGGAATTGAACTTAGGACCTTGCGCTTGCCAGGCAGGCAGTGTGTCTCTGACATCCTTGGCTGGCCAAACTTTTCATGTTAGTGAAGTTTTTTCTTCATAAGCTATGTACATTGTGTTGATCTTTCCATTTCCTCAATAACTGTTGTGTTTGAAAGGAAAATGCATAGCTTTCATTTGATTTTTAAAGTTAAAATCAAAGAGCTTGTTGCACTCTAATTTTTAGTTGATGATTGCATGAATATTAAATTTGGTGGGAGAACTAATTCTTCCTTGAGGATACTTCTGTTCGATAGGAGAACTATTTGATTGCAGTTAGCTAATTTTCTGGATTAACTACTAAAAATAATATAGTCTTTGTAAATATCTGTTTTAGAATGTGAATTCAAAATAAATACATTTCTTACAGTAGTAGTGATAATAGCCCGAGATGTTAATGAATGCTTTCAATTTTTTCAAATTTTGTACTGTGAGAGATTCTGTTCATCGTGAATTCCTTGGGGAAATAAAAATGCTAAGAATGAAACATTAGAGCTTTGTAATTTTAAGTATTTTTTAAAAAAAGGTTTTTTAAAGTATTATTTTCTTATAATTTGGATTTAGGTCTTTTTCCTTCAGGCAAAAAAACTCATAAACCCAAGCACAAGTACAAAGGTAAATCCAGCTGTTAGTGTGGCCTGTCCTTCCCTTGCCTGTCCTGTAGAAAAGTAGTAGCTTCGTCAGATGTGCCTTTTTAAGTGGAGCCAGCAGTGTGCATATTTTATTTAGTTACAAGTTACTTGCTCTGCCTTCCCTAAAGCCATAGTTCTTTTTCATTGTTCTGTTTCCTTTTACCCTGTTCTGTTAGCTTAGTTTTTAATGAAAGTTCTGGTGCTTTAAGTTAGTGATTTGCTCTTCCTCAGTTCCTCCATACCCTAAAACATGTCTATTTCTGATTGATCTGGAGCACTGGAAAAATTCTGAGTGGTTCAGTATGTACTTAAACATGTAAGTGCGTAGAAACCCCTAAGTGGGAATAAGTATTTTTGATTTATAAACACTAGTTTCGAGCCAGTCTGTTGCAGGTGTATTTCACCATCTTGTAAGAGTCACGTGAAACAGTAATATTTTATGTATAGTGAGTCATTTACTAAACTTCTATTTGTTGTAGCCATTAAAAAATTCAAGGAACTTAACAGTATAACAAAGTGAAGGCAAAGTATGTTTAGTTGGTTGTGTGGCCCGTACCACCCACTGTTAACGGTAGCCACTGCCGTTTATCATGTACTGTGTGCTAGACACGGGGAAAAGCACTTAGAGTTCATTTTCTTATTTCATCCATGTAGCATTTCTGTGAGGAGAGTAGCATTACCTGTATTTACACAAGGATAGTGAAATGAATATTAAATAGTTTGGTTAGGTGACATACTAGATTTAAATTTAGGTTCTAAACAAATTACTTGATTTTGCTAACAGCTTTTCATGAGCTCAAAGATTGTTCAGAAGTTAAGAGTGATCCAAACTGATTTTTTTGCATTTATTTCAAAAACTGTAACTGAATGTCTACTCTAAAGCAGGCATTGTTGTGACTTTAGGAAAAGGTGGTTCGTTGCAGTCCCTCGCCTCTGAGTAAAATCCAGTGGGCAGCCAGCTGGGTGGCTGAAGCACCTTGATAACTGGGTTGAGAGAAAGAACAATGGTCTGCACTAAAGTTTATGGGGCTGCTGGTACCTGATGTCTAATACAGGGTGTTGTGCACAGGAATGTACTAACAGGGTTATGTGTAGGTTTGTACTACATACTGCTTCCTGAGAAAAGAAGGCTAGCACCTGTCCTTTGGATGATTGTGAAGTACCAACAGCTAGGGGAAAACTTACAGTTATTTAAATATTTAATGGCGACCATCACTAGATCTGCTGCTGTACAGAGGCAAGGATGAGTGAGACAACTAGAGGCCTCCACATTCACCCCACTGTAGGAAGAGACCATCTTTCTCAACAGGGTTTGTCTGAACCATAAAACACAGATGATTATAATGACTCTTTACTATTGTCCCAAGGTCACACTTTGCCCCTATTTTTCAAGATGCATAGGAAAGAAATTCCTTCATTGTACAATTTGAAATCTCTAAAAAGGCAAATAACCAAGCAGTTGTTAAGGATCCTCGGGTAGCACCCAGGAGGCTGTTTATCCTAGTTTGGTGAGTCAGTGGTATCTGCCAGAGGAGCAAGTCCCAAAGTAGAGTCTGAAGCCTATGTTAGGCAAATGAACTTTGTTTCGTGTAGAGGTAACAGCATACGTGAAGGAATGAGGTAGGTGAGAACATTGATTCAGAGAATGTAAAGTCATAAGTGATTTGAACATTGAGCATTGGGGAAGCATTAAATGATTTTAATCAAAGGGTAACATGACCAGAGTTGCATTTTAGAAACATGATGGTTGTGGTTTAGCAAACTGGGGATGGTATGGTCATTTGGAAGATTCTTAACGTAGCCCCAGGAGAGATGACAGTGGCTTGTACTGAGGAAGTGGCTGAATATGCAGGGAAAAACTGGGTAGATTATAGAAAAATGGAAAGAAGAAAGCTGCAGGCATTTGATTGGTGTGTAGAGACTAAAAGAAGGCATACTTTTGTTTACATTTCTGGTGTGGGCAGTTAGCGCAGAGCTGAGAGGAAAGGCAGGCTTTACTTGCTACTTCATTTCCTGTTTTCTGAGGAGATGCGGGTGATATGACTGCTTTTCAGTAAGGAAGAAAAGTACATGTGCATTTCAGCTGTAACAATCCATAGTAGTTTTGAATCTGGAATTGCAGAGGATAGAACTTTTATTAACAGGAACAAACAGAAGAGCAACTAGTTTGGAAATAAAACTTCCGTTGACTTGTCTTTGATGGTGGACATTTAAGCAGAGTACTCTAGATGGTTGAGAGTTGTGGCTGGGTCTTATGTATGTTAGGACGAAATGAAGACTTTGGAGTCAATAGGATAGGGGCTTTTGCTAAAGCCTTCGGGGAGGATAACCACACCAAACAAAGACTGAGACAAAAAGAACACAGTATCTTTGGAGAATTCCCTTTTCCTTAGCGAGATAATGTTAAGAAAGAGCTTAAAAGCCCACTACTTAAAAGATTCAACCACAATGTAAACAAAGTAATTTATTTTTAAAGATAATGCTTTATTCTGTAAGTAATGAAATAATGCTGTAATATGGATGCCTGGAAGATTGGCACTTGGGAAAACAGGTGAAAAAATCTTAAGAAAGCTTTGAAAAAAGGCAAAGCTAACCTGTCACAAATTGGTAAGCTTCAAGAAAGTTGAGATTTGATGAAGGCCTTTCTTTGGGTTTTCCCAGAAGATGAACTGATAGTCTGTGAGAACAGAAACCAGCTTAGCATCAGTGTGACCTCTTCTAAGTTCTTACCTGCCTCACAGTGGAGCCTTATCTTTGCAGTCCTCTCCTTCGTGTGGTTCTAAGTTAGACATTGATATAGGTAAGCACTCAGTTTGTAGAAGATGAGGAGGAGGAGTATTATCTTTTAAAGACTAGTGCGAGTATCCAGATGGCTGGAAGACTAGTCCTGAATGCTTTATGAGAATTACCACTCTCCATGCTGCAGGCTAAAAATGACAGTGCTCCTCAGTTTTACTTAGCTCTACTAAGGATTGAGTAGGCCTCTAATTTTTGTGCCCTGGAATATGTAAAGTAGCTTTTTAAAAGGCAATTGTGTTTATCAAGTATTTTTCTTGTCTACTTTACTATGTAATTTTGTTTTACGGTCCATCTTCCTGTTAGACTGTAAGCTCTATGAGGATATAAACTATGTCCTCAGCATGCTTTCTAATTACTTAATAGATGTTTTGAATACTGAAAGTGAAGTAGAAAAGTAAAAGTAGGAAAGAATGTATGGAGGGAGATTTTAATCAGTACATACAAATTTTGTGAGGTAGTTAACCAGAAAATGGGCCAGGAATAGCTATGGCATTGAATGTTTTTAAGGACAGAAGAGTGATTGGGCTTGAGAGCATAATAGCAGGGCTTTGGAGGATTTAATAGTGAAAAATTGGAGCAGTTGTTTGAGATGATTTCCAACAAGTTTGCAAAAGTAGGTTAGCCAGAGCACTGAGGTAAAACAAGAATATTTTTACAGAGTGATAGTGTTATAAAATAAAGTAAAAGAATAAAAGCAAGTGGTCATGAGCAGTTAGCAATGGAAGAGGAAATATTAATTAAATCAACAAACTCACTCCACAAACTTTAACACATCGTAAACACTGTGGTTTATTCATTGGTTTCCAAATTACCACCATGGAACAAGAGTTAGTTGACAGCTTTCTTTATGGAAAAGTTAGAACTATGAAGGCAGCATTGCGATTTTTTAAAAAAAATTAGACCAACTATATTCAACTGCAATTACATTCTCCTTTCTTTTGGTGTTAACACCTACTTTTGTTTTGCATTTTATTAAACTACTAGGTGGCACTTGCTGATGTCGATGTGCTTAAATGCCACTTCTCAAAAAATAAAAAATAGTTAACCTTTTTTCAGTTCACCCCATTCCATTTTATCTTTAATGTTTCATAAAATTTAAAACTCTGATAACATTGCCAAGATTATATTAGATAATGCTGTTAAGTCAATAAAATACAAGGAATTCTCTACTTTATAATAACAAATAAACATAATAAAAATGGACAGAGGATTTAACATTTCTCAAAAGAAGACATACTAATGGTTAAACAAGTGTGTTAAAAATTGTGAAATCTCTAAATCACTAAAGAAAAGCAAATAAAAACCCCAGTGAGATACTACTTCACACCTTGGCTAGTAGTGAAAAGATGAGAGCTAATAAGTACTGCGGTTGTGCTGAAAAGGGGGCCATTACACATTGCTGTTTTACACTGTTGGTGATGATTGTAAATTATTACAGCCATTTTGAAAAGCAGTATGATGATTTCTCAAAAAAATACTCTGTAAATAGAATTACCATATTACCCACCCATTCCATTTATGATGTCTACATCCAGGCTACAGGAACAGCCTAAGGATCAGTCTGTCAACAGAATAATGGATTTAAAAATATGGTGTATGTATACAGTCAGTTACCATTGAGACCTTAAAAAAATCCAGGAAATTGTGGCATTTGTGGCACATTGAGAGAAACCGTAGGACAAGATGTTGAAGTGTCATAAGCTGGAAAGACAAATACCATATGATCTCACTAAAAACACTGATACTATCGATAGTATCTCAGTTACTTTTCCCATTGCTGAGTCAAAATACCTGATATCCAAAATTTAAAAAGAGGAAAGATTTATTTTGATTCACAGTTTGTAGAAGTGTCAGTCTGTATTCGGCTGGCTCCAAAGTGGGGTGGTGTGGCAAACAGGTGTCACAAAGGAGAAACAGCTTGTGGTGTTCACAAGATAACAAAAGCAACAAGGGAACAAAGGGAAGACAAGCCCTTTCTGTCCCTTTTATTTTATCCAGACTACCATGATCAGGGTGGTGCCAAACCAGTCAGTGGTCTGATTTTTTAATCACAGACTTTTAACCCCAGCATCTCACACTATAGATTTAACCACTTCTGAAAAAGCCTCACCTAGGACTGCGTGAGGCTTTGAGGGGACGTCTAGACACAAGCCATAACAGAAGGAAAAGGTGGAATGGTGATTAGCAGAGGCTGGGGGAAGAGCAGGAGTGGACAGGAAAAGGAGGAACGTCAGCCGACTTGTATAAGAGTTTCAGCTAGATAGGCTGAAGTTGTGGTGTTCTATTGTATTGCATAGCTTGCTGGCCATAGTAATAATTACTATTTCAGCATAAGTAAAAAAACAGCATGAATACTGTCACCTCAAATATGATAAACACTTGAAGTTATAGGTATGTTAATCCAATCTGTTCATTCCACAAAGTGTACATTTGTTAAAATAACACATTGTATTCCGTAAGTATTTAAAATATTATTTCTTAATACTTTTTTAAAAATCCAAGAGTATGTGGCTTAATATGCTTGTATATTTCGAAAGATAAAAAAGGCAAATGTCATAATTTTCTGAAATTTTTGGAAATCTCATGGAAGTACAGTTTATAGGTATAACATTTCTAACAAAAAATGGGAAAATTTTTGTATTTTAGATGAAGATCGCCTTTCTAGGAGGAAAAGTATTGTGGACACTGTATCAATTCAGGTGGATATTTTACCCAACAACGTTTCTTCTGATGATGTGGTAAGTTGCTCTGGGTTTATGGTGGAGTACTATCTTGAGTAGACATTGTTTAAGATAAATTTTTGATTTCCCACCAAATGACAGAAACCACAACTTTAAATTATCCCCTAAACAGTTACATTATTGGTGGAAATATTCTCGTGTACCTGTTTACTTATAATTTTTCTAATTTCATTCTAGCTATCTGTAAAGACTCATCAGATTAACACATGTTGTATTACATTTTGCACTGTAATTCATTACAATAAAAGAATCAGTAAGATAGAATTAAAGAAGGATTGGGCTGTCTAGGTTCTTTTTTTTAATTTATGAAATATAAGTTGCTGGAATCAGTGGAGTTACACACTGTCACATGAATCCAGCTACTCACTACTTTTAGGAAACTTCAAATCTTTACCTAGAAGGGAAAGTATTTTGGGTAGTGTATCAGTGAACTATGCATCCTTTCAGGACTGTGGCTTCTTAGGGTTAATGCTCTCTCCCTGTTGCAGTAGAGCACAAGAAGGACCCTCTTAAGTTACAAGGGAAAAAAAGCAGTAATCTATAGGACTTATTTCATGCACGTCAACAGAGGATTTTTTGATAGATAATTTCTGATAGCCATTGTTTTGAACCCTGAAATGCCAGCCAATCAAATGAGCCCCATTTGGTGGTTTTATTCAACTTTCCATTGTATACAATTAATCACTTATATTAATAAATTATTGGGGCCAGGGATATAGCTCAGCAGTCCAGCGCCTATCTGGCAATTGAGAGGTCCTGAGTTTGATTCCAGATCTCCCTACCCCAAAAAGGAGTTGTTAGTAGAACATCAAGAGTAGTTGAAGACAGTTCGTGTAAGAAACTTAGGGCATTAAGGTCACTTTAAAGATTCTTACATATTTAAGCTTGAGATAAAGAATATTCCTTAAACTCATCTCTTTCTTTGAAGCCATTTTAATTACATAACTCTTTACTAGTAAGGAGAGTATCTTACATGATATATGATAATGAATTTGCTACTGTTACCTTTTGAAGGAAGAAATTTATTCAAAGCCTTGCTTTGTGGAATGAGTTTTGTTAGGAGTGCAGTGTATTTTATTGACTGGTATTTTTCCTTTTCCTTTTCCTTTTCCTTTTCCTTTTCCTTTTCCTTTTCCTTTTCCTTTTCCTTTTCTTTTTCCTTTTCCTCTGTGTGTGTGTGTGTGTGTGTGTGTGTGTGTGTGTGTGTGTGTGTGTGTGTGTGACAGTCTCCATATTGTCTAGGAGGCTGGCCTTGAACTCCTAGCCATTCTCTTGCCTCAGCCTCCCAAGTGCTGAGATGATAGATGTATGCCACCATGCCCAACTTCCATTCTTCTTTTCATGTTTTTAACTCTTTCAAAATATATTATCTATCACAGAAACTATTTCAGAGAAGCAATCTATTTTGATAAAATGAACTAGAAAAATTAGCATGAAAACAGTGTAGAAGGAAGTGTAGAAGGTTCTTGTCATGAACTTTACATTAAAAGTCCATTAATACATTTAATGTTACAGAAATCTTAAGTCCTCGATTAGGTATGTCTTTCACTGAACTTCTGAAAAGTGTAAGTTAGTACCCTATTTATTTGAGCACATTTGAGTTTCAAATTCATTCACTGTTGTGGAATCTACTCTTGTGTGCTACAAATGTATGTTCAATATCAGAAGACAAAACAAAACTACCTTCTAGACCAGTGATGATGAACCTCTGGCATGCGTGTTTTCTTTTAAGATAAAAATGTTAATGTATGAGTTGTTTTTCTAAACTTAAACCACAATATTCAGGTTTAATTGCAGTGTTGGCACTTTATGATAAATAAGTGGGTTTTAGGTTGTGGTTTGGGTGCATGCCTTTGAAAAAGTTTGCCATCACTGTTCTAGATAAAGCTAAATAATTTCATAGCAAAGACAAGAGAAATTGACATCACTGATTGATCTGTTATTGGTGAATACTTAAGTTTTAAGAAGAAAGTATGACTGTGACAAGGATGTGGCCTTTTGACTTCTCCCCCTTCTCCCCTCTTCCTTCTCCTGCACTGTAGTTGTCTTATCTTAAAAGTCTGAAACTCTTAGCCAAACATAGAACAATAAGGAGCTGTTTTTCATTAAACTACTAGATTGTTTTTAGGTGCGAATAATTAACCAGCCAGAGCCTAATGTTGTATATCTACTCCAGATATCTAGAACAAAGCAACTGAAGATTCCCAAGTTTAATCTGACTTCAACTAGAAATGTGAGCCCTCAGTAGAAAAACTGAGGTAGTGGAACTCTTGCTGCTTGATACCCAGCTTAAAGCCTTTGTGTTACAGAGAAGCTAAGGTGCAGAGCATGTGGAGTCTTTTGGTTTAGTCTTTCCGTCTTAGTCTTAGCAAAAGAAGCTCATGAGCTAACATTAGGGATGACCAGAGGCCCAGGCAAGTACTTTAATGCATCATTTCTTAATTCTTACTCAGAGATACTGTAGTAACTGGAGATGTTATTCCTTCTTAAGGAAGCACTGCTTCCACATAAAGTACCATAATTGTTTGCTAAAGCAGAGATTTCATACTGTAAATATCTCAAAGTAAGAGGTGTTTGAGAACCCAAGTTAGTGTTTTCAGAAAATAAAAGGTTGGCAGTTGACCATAAAAGATCCAGAGTACATTTATTTTAAGATGGTGATAAACTGTTTCACTGAACATCTTTAAAGTAGTGGTTCTTTTAAACCATTTAAAATCATAGATTGTTTTACTTTTGGTTTGTAGACTATGTACAGCAGCATCAAAACTACAGCTTAAGTATGTAGGCTACTTAATTTTTATTTGCCATGTAAGCTGCAATGCTATTTATGTGCAGTCTCAACCTTGACTGTTTGAAAGCACTACTCACTTAGAAGCTGAGGTCTTGTGCAGCCTGTGACTGGGGACAGTTCTGTAACTGAGAGTGGCTGAGCTGTTGAGGCAATGCTGACTGTTTCTGCCGGTTGGATGTGCGCCTGGCTTGGGGAACCACTGAGATGGCCACTACTGTGACCTAGTGAAGAGCATTTGATGTTAGGGGTGTATTCACAAATCACAACCAAAACCAACAAAACCAGAATTCTTAGATGTCTTAGGGAAAGGCTTTATTTATATTGACCTTTCTTAATTCTGTTTTACTTCAAATCACTTCTCCCTAGGTTAGTAACACTGAAGAAATCACCTTTGAAGCGTTGAAGAAAGCAATTGGTGAGATACTGTACACTTGTTAGCTCTGCCAATATTAACTCACTTTTATACTGAATACTCTTAGATGCCAGAAGACAGGCAGCATGGCAAAAAAGTTAAAACACTTTGTTTTTTATATAAATATATCATTTGTATAAATAGTTACTTGAACTTTTCAAATTCTTTTCTGTATTCTTAAGCAAGAAAATACTTAGATCAGCGGTATCAAAAAGGATACTTGTTATTTTACTATCTCAAAACCTTAGCCAGGCTACACATCAACTAAAGATAAAATCCCTTCCCAGGTTGTGCTAAGACTCAAACAGTGTGGGTCCAGATAACCTGTTTGTATTTCAGTGACTCCATTCAATGTCAGGGTTCAGTTGAGCAAATACTTAGTATTTTGTATGTGTGAAGTTATGGTTATAAAATAAAAGATCATTCCCCAGGAAAGACCTTAAAGTTGTTTGACTTGTAGAAAGTTACTGTTTCTTTTTTTGCTGAGACACAGGTACTCTAGGAATAAAGACCTTTTGCTGTGTCGCTTTATCTTAAAAAAGTGTTTTTTAAATAAGTCTGTGCTTTCTAATTTAAATGTAACACTGTAAGAATGTTATTATGCCTTTTTTTTTTCTTATAAAAGTAGCCTTTTAAATTGCCCTTAATTTTGGCTTAGGGTCATTGGTAGGATTTTATGAAATTCTGCATTCCTTTTAACGGGCCTATATAAATACCTATGTAGATACCAATGTAATGGAAGAACAAGAAAAGGAAAAGAGACGTCTTGTAATAGAGAAATTCCAGAAAGCACCTTTTGAAGAAATAGCAGCACAGTGTGAATCTAAAGTAAGTGAACAGATCACGATAGGATTGGGGTAGTGTGTGGAAACTCTTTTGTGGTGATTGGTAACTTCCAAACTTTAGGCAAGCTAATAGAGAACTCTGGAGGCAAAACTGTGAAACCTAATGTTTTTTATCTGATGTAAGCTGATGGAAATGATACATTCCAAACTAGATTCATACTTTTTAAAATAATAGTTTTCAATGGCTGTGCTGTGTTTTGTATGTTTGTCAGTTTGTTTTCAGCAGTGAGATCAGGAAAGGAAATAAAGGGAGAAACTTTATATTGAGTTCCAGTGGATAAGATAGCTCAGCCCAAACCATTCTGTACTGTTAGCTTACTAGTTATAGCTATGTTTTGTCCTTTCAATTACATTTGTATTTTTGTTTGGAAAATAATAAAGCCTTTCTTAACACTTGTTTTCTTTTTTGTAGGCAAATTTGCTTCATGATAGACTTGCTCAAATATTAGAACTCACTATACGGTAAGGAGTTTTTTCTTACTATAGTAGCAGTAGCACAAACACAAAATAGAAACAACTAGACCAATGTCAGTTTCTGGATGATTATCTAAGTAATTGTCCTTTTCTCTGAGAATAAACAAGATTATATAGTTGACCTTTTGTCTTAATCTGTTTGCCAGATAAAGTCTAATACCATTTCTTGTCCAGTTGTCTTTTAGCTTTTCTAACTTCTTCTTTTAGATCATTTATTTATTCATGATGGTGCTATAGGGCTTCTGCAAAGAAAGAACTCCCTGGTCTGACACTGAGTATAAAGTGGTCCAAGAGAAGAGCTACACATGGCTGTGTTTCAGAAATTGTTTTCTACATCAACTATATCTTTTATATTTTTAACTTGATTAATCAAGTCTGTTTTGCTTCAACCCCTGTCTCCTATAAATGAAAGAGACTGCTAAATAGTCTAGTGGTGGTAAAGCTGAGGCACGCATATTTTTCTTTTAAGGCAAAAAATGTTAGTGTATGAGTTTTCTCCTAAACTAAAATCTCAGTGTTCAGGTTCAATTGCAGTGTCGGCCTTGGTGATTAATAAGTGGGTTTGGGGTTGCATTTTGGATATTTTTTGCTAAAAGGTTCACCATCAGATAGTCTAGTCCACCTGAGGGTTTTTTTTTTTTTTTAAATTTTAGCTTGTTTTTTGTTTTTCTATCTAAAGCACATTTTTATCAGCATCACATCTTATTCTAAGTACTTCTCCACCATTCCTTCCACCCCTGCTAAATAGAGAATCACACATTTACAGAATTTCAGAACAGAGATTTTGTCTAAAATGTGCAATAGTCTGTAGAGTCAATTTCCAGAGAAAATTACTGAATTGAGGACATTTGCTTCTTTGATGTCGCTTAGTTGTGATTCACATATCCTTTGTGTACTTGGTTCTTATGCTGCATGCCGTATATCTAACTCTCCTGAGAGCGCTGAATGGGCTCCTTTGCTTTTTCTGAGTGAAGACACAAAGGTTTAGAGCAGTAAGATGACTTAGTGAGTGGCAAAGTTGGAGTTTAAATCTGTGGCTGTGATCTTACAAAGAGTGTTACTGAGGATCACCATTACATTTAGTCTCTCTGATACAGTAATTACATGAATTTAATATTTTAGAATAAGTATCGTAGCTAATTTTCGTTTCCTTGTATTACAACTATGGTTTCTTAGCATTTTAAACACACACTAGTAGTAGGTTAACATTTATTGACTACTTAATAATATTCCAGACCCTCTGCTAAGTGTATTATTTCATTTAATAGTTGTAATACACCTAAAATAGTGATTATTCTCATTTTTACCACTGTGAAAACAGACTCACAGAAATTAGTTAATTTATCCAAGGTCACTTAAGAAGTAGTAGTTCTGGGATCACTTACATGATACAGAAAAACTAAACTATTGCACATATTGGGCCTTTAGAGTTCTCAGTCCTGTCTGGTACAGTTTGTCTTGTTAGTTAACCTTACCCTCACCAGAAGGAAGGAGTGATACTCTCCAAAAAAGAAACCAAACAAATAGTATTAAACTTCAGTCTCCATTGTTTCGTCATTCACCGTGACCTGAGTGCAGGGAAAAAAATAAATGTGAAGAAGCAGTAACATAAATATGGTGAGACGAAGCAAGATCCCAGCTGACCAGGTTGCTGGAATTTGTAACAGGGTCCCTAAATCAGCACATGCGTGTCAGAGGGTACAAAGGGGAGATGGATAGGTCTGAGTAGAGAAAAATGGGCTTGGCTGCTTGTTGCTGTTGTTTCTTGCATTCCATTATTGTAATGAAGTGCGAATTTTAAAATTTGTTTCATAAGATCATTAAAACACAACCACAAAAAAACAAAACTTTGGTAATGATATAAAAGATTTGAATATTGTTGAGTCAGCGTAAGTGAGCTTTTTTAACGAATCCGCATCTGTCCAGTGGAATAAATTACAGAAGCATATAATGAAATACTATATTGTTATTGCAAAGGACAACACACATATGTGCAAAAGATATTTTGCTTATGAAGCAAGAATACACACTTTATTATGAAAAATTGTGTAATACAAAGGATACTACCTGTTTTAGACTTAAAATATCATGGTACTGCTGATGTTCCCCATACAGCCTTCTAGCTGGTGAGCACCTTTATTACATCCCATGCAGTTAGGGGATCGTACTCTGCACATAATAGATAAAATACTCTGTGAAATATGCCTGTCAACTGTTCATTTCTTCTTTACAGTCCTCCTCCCAGTCCATCAGGAACACTGACCATTACTTCTGGGCATACTCAGTACCAGTCCGTCCCAGTCTATGAGATGAAGTTTCCAGATCTGTGTGTATACTAAGTGGCTCAGGAAGACGTCAGCATAGACTTGTAAAGCCTTAAAATTAAGGCTAAACCGAACTTTTAGTGTTTACTTAACGCATATTAACATGTTCTTTGAAAATGATGGTGGAAGTTACTGTTAAGCAAACAAGTGGTTGGCATATGCCATATTAGAAGTTTGGGAGCTCTACATAACTTAAGAGTACTGTTGAAGATAGATTTTGCCATGTTCATCTATTTTGAGGTTGCTATTGGCTTTTAAATTTGAACATGGTAGTCATTTATTTCTCCATTGTTAAACAGTATATTTTGAACTTCTCACAAACATGTAATTTTTAAAAAATTGACAGTGTATGAAATGTCTACTGAATTTCTTGATTGTCTGTCTACACAACTGCTTAGAAATAGAATTGCTTCTAGTTTTGGTTATCTGCAAAAGTGAATATATTCCTAATCCTGTTGCAAAATAGTCACATGGCTTTCTGTCCCTACTCTTTAAATAAGTTGTGGCAGGCATCTTTCCGGTTGTCTACTGTAATATTTTATAGTAGGCATTCCTTAAAGTGTTTACAGTAATACAACATCTATTGAATGGTATTCCTACATTATGACTTTTTAAATGGCCATACTATAAAATAACTAGTTCTTGTAATACTGTATTTTCTGCTGAGAGTTTAACCACTTGAGAAACTTAGAGCTTAGTTTTGGAGTACTGAACTGTGCAATATTTTTTACATCATAAGATGTATTAGTTTACAGGGTAGTAATATTTTACTATGGCTCCATTAGTTAAATATATATATATTTAGTATATTAGTTAAATATATATATATTTAGTATAGAAAAGAAAGACATTTAAGAAAGCTACTAGTTCACCTGTGAGGAATCTCTACATTTCAGTTTCTGTTAAGAGTACATTAATTTACATTTTTATATTGTGCATTGTTTTCAATCTTTGTAGTGAAAAAAATTCCCCAAATAGATTTTTAATGTGTAAGATTTGAACCAAAACTTGTGTGTATCCTCTGTTTGGTATTAACAGCTTTACGTTTGAAAAATGTGCCTGTGTTTTACCAGACATGCTGAGTAGGGTCTGTGGTGAAAGCTACTTTTGATTTCAGCTTCCAAAGTCACAGGGGCACTCTGCATTCATGCATTCTTGTGGATTCCATCACAAAGTAATAAAGATCTTCCTTTGCAATTCACAGAAAATTCTCTTAGTACATGCTTATAAAATCACTTGTCAGATAACTTTTTCTTTTTATACAAACCATATATAAAATTGCAATTCAAAAACAATATAGTGGCTTTTGTTTTTCTTTGGAAAATTGCAGCAAAGAATGGGATCATTTAACCTTGTGTTTGTAGTTTTTGGGCCCCTTTAGTAGAAATTTTAAAAAAGATAGGAAATTAAGCCTAATCAAAAATGCTTAGGTATATTTAAACTAAGGCACAAATCTTTAAAAAGAGTCTAGTCACTTAAACCTAAAAAATGATACAAAAACATCCTGAGCTGTTGATTAAGTGTAGGTAAACAAGAGCTTGTTTTCAGAATGACAGTACAGTAGTCACAGCTGCAGGACCAAAAGGGCCTGTTGCAGTTGTCACTGTAAATTTCCCTCCTACCAGGTGAAATGTCACTAGCTAAAAGGCCAAGTTGTGTGTGTGTGTGTGTGTGTGTGTGTGTGTGTGTGTTTTAATTTGCCTTTTCTGTATTTTTAAAGAAATTATTAATTTTTCACTGCATTTAAAATCTAAGCAAGGGGACACGCAAATAACATCATCCACTTGGATGTCATTTTATAAATTAACACTGTGCTTTTGTATGAGAAAATTCATAGTTTATATATATTAATTTGCATTCATGCAGAGTATAAACTTTGTTCTACAAAAATTTTCTCGGTGATCTTAAAAAGGCATGCATTGCATGCAAAGAAAACCATTGCATTTAATGTTTATCATACTTTTCCCTTGATCTTTGGAAACTGTTAACTTGGGTTTTGTTTGGTAGGAGTTGTTATTTTTAAATCACAATAGGCTTTTATCCTGAGTCCAGGAGACTGGACAGGTCCTGTTGACAAGGATTCCTGAGAAATAGGTCTTTTCTGAGTGACCCTCCCATGCTTGCAGGGCCCTAGGTTTAGGGTTTGGGTTAGAGCTGTGTTGTAGCCAGTTCAGACACAGAAAGTTTAGGATTTGTTATTTACTGCATTGCCATACTTTAGTAGATACATAAAGCTCATGATAAACTGGTAATCATCTTTTTGTTCTGTATAGTTGGTTTATATCAGTCTTCTTTTGTGTGACATGAATAATCAACATTTAAATGTTCTCTTACGCTTGTGTTATCTGTAACTGCATATATGTAGAGTCTGATTGGCATTTACCTGAACAAATACACACACACAGAGGCACACCACACAAGTGCACATGCATCCTTAATACTTCTGAACTCATTGTCCTTTAGACTGATACCACAGATACCAGCAATTAACTTCCCTTTCCCTAAAATGTTTGTCTTCCTGTCTAGAAATGAAATTCATTTGTCTTATTCATGCTGAGAAATGTGTTACGTGTACAGAAGTTTTAAATGTTAAAAAACTCACTTTGCAATATATGTAAACAAAATAAAAACTGAATTACTTGTATATAAGTATGTTTTCATGGT